TATATATGTACTTGTTGATTCGTATTTGAATAGAAGCATATGGCGTATATGTGTATCCGAACGTGTTTTTCTCGCCTTCAATTATGGGCTAGCCATCGTTTACTCTTTGTTGCACATTGGCTGCGAAAATCGTTGGCGCTCATCTCTTTTTCGGCTGTTATTCATCAGTTATTATCAATCGTACTACTTTGTATCTCGTATACCTCACGTGTTATTGTCAAGTGGTACTAATAAGAATATTTTGCAGTCTGTTTTCATCAGGCTTTATTGTTAATATTTTTATCAATTCTCTTTTTATGGTTGCGTCCGACAGCATCAATACCCACTATTCCGGTAAGCATCATCCATATATAATACACTATGGTCCTCCTTATCATATATATGTATAAAAGAGTTCGAGGTAAGTGCACGCATAACATTTGCTCTAGGCGACGGCCGATATTTTAACTATTAACCTGATGCAACCCGTATCACTCTAATAACAATGTGAGAGTCTGTGTTCGTATCGATCTTTTACCTGTAGCTCGTTCACCTTCAGCGTACGACATAGGGGACCGGAACACATTTACCTTACATACATTACTAGCAGGGCGCCTTGCTTCAATGCTATTGATAAGCGCGTATACATCTCTTGCAGAGATCGCCCGCCATCGATTGACACTTGTATTTTACGCCAACTCAACTGTTATTAGGAATTTAGAATGGTAAATAACATCATTTTTAGGGTTTCTATCAGTTGCTTTCGCCTAATGGCGGCAACAACAATACTAATGATAATAATCAAATTACTAGCTCAGACTTTGCCAGACAGTTGTTGCCTGGACGGCTACACGCCCTAATGCGAGTCCGAAATTACGATGTTACGAAAATTGCATACCGACAATAATGCAAACAAATTCTACAAATAGTATACTGATTGGGCATAATAATACTACTAATAAAATTGATTTAATTATCTTCTAGTTTTTCGTTCAGCGTTATGCATCATCCTACAGCTAAACAATAATTATTGCGTTTGCCATGATTATTTTTAATAATGATAAACCTATGATAATTTTCTTTAACCTTTGATCTGCGTTTATTTGCGCATTACATTGTCATAACGTGCGCACAATTTGACTAGCACTATGGCGAGATTTTCAGGAGTTTAATAGATGAAAGATTTTTGTTGTTGCAGAAGTGACGGTAGTAATAAGAAAAAAAAATGTATCTGTAATCAAGATCACAAAAGTACATCCTGAACCGCGGCAGTGTAATCTTTTTTCGACGTTTATGAAGCAACATGACAACTGAAGATCGTGGTGAATTTTGTCAAGGGCGCATCTACTTTTGAGCTTACGCTAACTAATAAGAACTTTATTTAACTTAGTTAAAAAAAAAACACGTGCGTGTCCAGAGTGCACGCAATAGCTTACTTTCACTGCCGTTAATAATAATAATACAAAAATAATAAGGATAATGAAAATATTATCGTCTATGTTGATAACCCGCTGCATTATTATAGCTCTGTTCTTTTCAAATTGTCGACAGGCTGTATAGCTTGCTGGAGTCGCCCTACTATAAAATCCACTGAATCTATCCACTATAAATTGCTTTAGGGAATTTTTTATTTCCTCACATGTAGCTCTTGCGTTATCCTTTGTGAAAACCCTGACGCTTTCTCAGTTTCCATCTTTCTCTTGCAGGAGTTGTCTAATCTCATTAGTTATCATGTCCATACACAGTATCTACAGTTAATGTCGTTCTTAGCTGCATTCTCGTTTTTGTCGAAACCAGTACGGGAAGCGATCACAAATGACGCGCTGGCATACGCTGCCTGGCAGGGCGTTCAGCTGCATGACTTCACGCTGCTTCCATCGAACCACAACAGTCTCCATCAATCAAAGACAACATATTGGAAAGCACTAATAGTACTAACAGTAAAGCAGGTTGCAATTGACATTGCAGTGTGACATTGTTTCGGATTTTCAACAAGAACGTTACTAATTTTTATATTGTACCTAGCAGTTAATTACATAGCCGATCATTACACACACACACACACACACACACACACACACACACAACACACACACACACACACACACACACCACACACACACACACACACACACACACACACACACACACACACACACACACACACACACACACACACACACACACACACACACACACACACAGACGCCTGTAGATGCCCCACCGAGCAACAGCTAAGAATTACTATTATTATTACAGTAACAGTATTAACAGTTGTCATTATCATCATATTCAGCTAATATTAGTAATACATGTTTTACGATGCTTTGTGCGACATGGACACCCGTTCCCATGCCGCTGCTGTTGGCTCGAACTTTCCCACCGCTGTAACAGCCTGTGATTCAATTTTCTTTAAATTCTTATCCTTTAGCCATGCGTCCGGCCGATCATTTTATTTCTTATTCAAGATCTCTAGTGTTTTCCAAGTCTCTAGTACTTTTTTCAGTGCAAATTGTTTAGACTACAGCGGCGCCACGATGACCAATGTCCTTGCGCTTTTACATTCAACCTGCTCTCTTCACGGACTCGTTCGTTTTTGTTTAACGATCATCCTCTCATTTTATCATCCTTTCATATGAAGGCATTATTATCAGACATATTCGTACGCTAGCTTGTTCCTGCATTCACTCCGCACACTTATACGACCTAACAACGCGAAGTGACCTGTGCGGAGTTTTGCCTGACGAGTCCCACTGAACGCATGCAGATACAAATCCGCTGACATCTGCCGTGTCTCATATGAACATATAATAGGCAGCCAAATTCAAACTACACAGAGTACCGACAAGCCCATGTACCTCTAAATCGGTTCAAGATTCAGCTTCTACCCAGTTTGCTTGTTCGCGCGTAAAAGTGTAAGGTGTCAATTTGAATGTCTTATTAATTACTATTCTTGCTGTCTCTCTTGCACAACATCAAGTATTGGCCGCATTGCACATATTTGCTATTTGATCTTATTTCTATTACAGCACACAAAGAAATAGGGCGAACGTATCTGTTCCAATAAAGCCCATGCTACTATCACTGAACAGTAACTCCATGATTCATCTCCCGTTCACCCCCCAGTAGCTTTTTTACCGTCGACGCAACAATGAGCAGCTGGCGTCAACGATGACAAGTCACCCGGAAAAATCCGTCCCAACTTCACCCGGCTGAGCGGGTCATCAAGCATACGGTAGAGAACAATCGAGCCATACTTGTTTCTTTGTAGCTCTTAAAAATGTCTTTTTTCTTGTACAAGTACTGTTCATATATGTTTCTGCAGTTCAGACTACATATTCAATAACGGCGTTATTATATTCTGTAGCAATCATTCTCAATACTATACACTCTTTCTATGAATGATCAATGGTAATTAGAAATGGATCGATAATCTTTTTGGAACTTGTTCTTTGTCTTCGAATATTTCGTGCATTTTGTATCCGTCATCGCTAAACATGTGTTAGATTATTTACAGAAGCCTTTTCGTTTAGCTGTTCCTTCGGTAACCATTTCATGGACAAATAATAATCGGTTTATCCAATACTAATGATTGCCTTAAAAACTTAAACTTACTACCGTTCGTCTTGATAAAAATATACCATGTAAGTGTGAAAACTTTGACAATTTTCTCTTTACCAGGTTTTGACCATATTCGTTTACTCTATCTAATATTCTTCTGACATACTGCCTTTGACAGATATATGGGAGAGCACCTCGACATTCAGCATCAACACACAAAGAGGTATGGAGAAAGAACAGTATTTAAGTCCGTAGCTTACCTATTACATATCGTCGTTATCTGCGTCATGTTCATTAGAAGCTTGTTCAGATGTATGTGAAAAATTGCAGATTAACAATCAACACTCAACAAAGACTTGAATGCTAGCCCTTTTATATGGATGGCCTTTGAAAAGTAAGTATCTGTAGTTGCGCCCCTTATTTATGGGAGCCATCTTCAAGTTTGGTTGCCCTCTACTCCAACAGCCCGTTAGCCTTCAGCATAGGTTGTCATATTGAGAGGTTTCGCTTCTGTAATAAAAACATCAGGTTGACCATTGCAGGTGTCACCTACTTGACGTCTTTGAGCGAGGCGCCCCGCCCTAAACAATCACACGCCTGAAATCATAACATCAGGCGTTTTCTTCCCTCCAAATATCACTGTATAAATGTGACTCTACCGAAATGGAGTAGTGATGAAATTTCATGCCAGACATTTGCCATTACTCTGCGCGTTTTATCGTGTTAGTACGTTATGTTACGGCTTCATTACGCCTGCTTTTAGGTTGATCTAACTCCTTTTTGCAAGCCTTTCCATTTTTGGCGGCTTCCCACAACGATTTTTTTTAGCTGTTCGAGAGATCTGCTGTTGTTGTTGATGGTAGCGATAACATTATTGTTTGTGATGCAATTATTTGCTGTTCTACGTAAAATTATCTTATGTCTTTCTACTAAGCTCTCGGTAAACTTTTTGTTTTCTGCCATTATGATCATGCGTTTTTGTCACCTTACATAGTTCGGTATGGTCCTTTCATTTTAAGATACTGAATAACAAGGGAAGGTCCCCCATTAACAATCTCAGCGGGAATCTGGCTTAGAGGACAGTTCTCGATCGACATAATCTGTAGATTGCTGCATAGTGCTAGTTCGAACGGCAGTGCGTGCAGCGGGTTATCGTTGAGATAGAGTGATTCAAGCGACTCGAGAGTACCTATCTCTTCGGGCAAATGCTGAAGATTGTTTTCACCGACGTTCAAATAGCTGAGCGAGGTGAGATGGCCAACGGCGCGCGGTAAATTCTGTAGTTGGTTACTTTGCACCATCAGCTTTTGAAGGTCGTGGAGAAACCCAATTTCGTTCGGTAATTGTTCGAGTTTATTCTCCTCGAGATCGAGCACACGCAGTTTCGTTAGGCCGCCAATTGAGCCGGGTAGGCGACGCAGCAAATTGTTGGAAAGGACTAACACTTCTAGCGAGTGCAGGTACTGGATATCGTCGGGAATCTTCGCCAGCTGATTGGTACCGAGGTTGAGCTCGACCATGTTGGTCCAGGTGCCGATGTCAAGAGGCAATGAGGACAGAAGATTGTCCTTCATGTTCAGCTTGCTGAGATTTTTTGCCCGTGAAAATATGCTAAACGGTATCTTGGTGATATGGTTGTGCTCGAGATTGATCGAGACGACCGAGGTAAATTGGCCAGGCCCGCCCGTCGGGTAGCTCGTGAACTGATTTCGTGATAGCGTCAATGAAGTGAACTGGGTAAACGATGAAAGAAGGCCTTCCGGCAGGACCGAGATGTTGTTCGACTCGACATTGAATTCCTGCATTAGTGTGCACTCTGCTAGCCGCTCGGGAATTGATGTTAACTGGTTATACCTGTGAAAACCGGAGGGGCTACGAAGTTAGATACGTAACCCTTTTAACTATGCACAGAGCGATGATAGATGTGAGAACTAAAGAAGATGCAAATAACGTTCGAACTAGGCTGCCGCTCGTAGTTGTTTTGTTCTGTGTTAGTTTCGTTCAATCTTATGTTAGTGTACAGTAATAAACATCTTAATTCATGCAATAGTTTTAACAGTGCCTTGTCATCGAAATGCACGCTCTTGTTTGCAGCATTATAAAAGTATATATGACTATAATCTTCATAGAAGCCTCTGCAATGCACGAGTTGACAGAACCATGTTCTTGACTTGAAAACATTGAACATCAATCTTTCTGTTATATTTATATTCTTGGTATAGGTATTTATACCTGAGACCAAGTCGAGTGAGGTTCTTGAGGTTGCCAATGCTCTCAGGAATATCGACGAGTTCGTTATGTTGCACATCAAGAGCCGACAGGTTGACACAGTTACCTAACGCTTCGGGCAGTTGGCTAAGGTGGTTATTTGACGCATCGAAAGTCACCAGCTGCTGAAGCTGGCCAATTCCAGATGGCAGTGATCGAATCTTGTTCTCGCGCAGCGATAGCATCGTCAAATTTGTTAGTGCGGAGATACTCTCGGATACCTAGAAAAGTTGTGCGCCGTAACTAGCTCAGTAGCATGCATGGATTTAGGGTAGAATTCCATTTAAGAATAGTACTTTCAAATATAACAATTTTCTTGTAAACTGTTCTAAATATCCCGCTCGAAACATAACGTCGGTAACCTATTTAGACGAGTTTGGCTTAAATTTTGATAAAATAAGTATTTTAGATTTAAGTGTATACATCCTGAGAAATATAAATAATTTCAATCACTTATCCCCACTTTGCTAATGTTTCAAGTGTTTTATCCAAAGTTAGTGACTTAAATTGTTTTTGATGAGTGCCTCCCTGCACAAACAGAAGGGTGTCCACGCTCGGTCTCCACCACGTATCTAAACTTCGTAGACAAGCACATTACCATTGTGCCACTACGCTTTCCCCATCTTATTAAATATCTAGTGTCATCTATTGAAAATAAATAAATATCAAAACGTTTAAATCTAAAAATGGGAGCAAATAAGCAAAAACGAGTTGATCTGAACATCCTGTTTTTCTCTATACTTCTATATTTCAAACATATGAAACACTTGCAGTCAACAAACGGGCTTTGGTTTTTAAGAGTCTTAGATTATTGTTCGATGTATTCAGCAGTAATCTCATAGATATGCATTAGAGACCGTCGACAAAGTTGTGATCTGCTAAATTAGCCCATTACTTACCTCTCGAATACGATTGAAACGCAAAAATAGTGTTGTCAGGGACCGCAGTGAGTAGATAACCGATGGAATTTCCGTAAATTTGTTGTGTCGTAAATCGAGCACCTTCAGTTGTTTCAGGCTCGCAAACGACTCCGGAAGCGACGTTAGTGAGTTTTCACTTAACGCCAACGTTGACAGATTTATAAGACCTGCCAAATTACACAAAAAAAGTCTGTTGTTGAACAGTTCAGTTGTATAGTTCAGAACAGGATAAATAGCTTCTACCAATAATATGAATCATTAAGAAGGTGTATTGTCTAATGATTTCTTTAACTGGTTCAAGTTGAATTGTTATCATGCATTAACTATGCCGGAATGGCAAGATGGACGACTTTTACAAAGATATTATTAATCGGCGTCAATAGCATGAATTATGAATCTGCTTACCGCCTATTTCGTTGGGTAGTGTTGATAGTTTATTGCCATATAAATACAGTTCGGCGAGGTGTGTTAACTCCCTAACGTTAGCCGGTAGCGTGGTTATCTGAAAAAGGAAATACAGCGCCATATGAATATATGGCGTGACTTAAAATTATCAGTGGACTTTTGATGAATAAATAGCTGCTAGCAATTATTTATATAACTAGCGCTTTCTACAATGGGTGCCACTTTATTTGTACAACAATATGTTCGACATGGTTGCACATGGTTTTTCAGGTTTCTCTTTTCAACTGAATATTTTGTGAATAGGTGTAGCAAAACTGTGACTGGTAGTCGACTTGGTGATAAGTACATATTGTACCTTCGACACTTACTATAAACTTATTTAAAACTATCCGATTTCAATGTCTCTGTTGAGAAAACTGACGATTGGAATGGCTAATTTTTTTGTGGCTGTTAATAGTACAGTAGACTCACATTCGATCTACTGAGGTCGAGACGCGTTACCCCCTCATCGCGACATCTGCTCAGTTCTTTAGCGACGTCAAGATCCGCCTGAATGGAGGGCTTTTTACGAGACGCAGGTTTTGGTTTCGATGCTCCTGGAGTGGTCACCATTACCTGGCAAATTGGATAGATAGATAGTAAGATACACTACAAGAATATTGAGAAGCTTTCATTATCTAAGTTTAATTCTATGGAAATTTCGAACGCACGAGGCATATTTTATAAAAAAAGAGCCCACAGTCATAATTTTGGGTGAGCAAACAGTTCGCGGATTTCACCTAACAAACATCCGCACACACTACGCATACTAAGAGCCTAGGGGCATCTTTTTCTGTACATACCTGTTTGCCCCCGGGCGGGGTTCCCGTTGAGGGTTTCTTCTCCTTTTCTTTGTCTCTGTCCCTATCTTTGTCTTTGGAGGATGATGAAGATGCTGATGTCCCTCCACCGTGCTGCTGCTGCTGGTCGTGCTCCATTTTCACACTAAGGCTTTATGGTTTACAGCCGTAATTAGAGAGTCAGGAGTGCCTGTGCTAACAAAGAGCGAGAATTCGTTCTGCAATCTGCGTCGAACGCCTTCACATCAAGCTAACGCCACGTCACAACTTCAGGAACCTTTAAAAATAAAACGTCCTACCATCCACAGAGTCGAGGTCGTTTTTGTATGATGCTGCCCGTAAGGAGGCTACCACTTGCTGAAGCCTTGCTTTACCAGCAGCGTTCTAATTATCTTGAAACGCACAGGGCAAACCTCGGGCTTTACGAATGCTTCGTCTGAAGACCTTAGGCTTCACAAACGCTTCTTTTCGCTACCTCAGACTTGGGCTTTCCGTGGAGACCGCTTTTTCTGTCTGCCTGTTTAACGCTCGTCAACGCCGCTACTCGGGCCCGGACCCGCCTAAGACCTTAGGACTTCTCCTCCTCACGAATTCATATTTACAGCTGCGGCATCTACGCATCGATACTGAAACTCACTCCCGCTATCGTCAAAATGAGAGGGATAAACGAGACAAGCGCAGGAAGATAACGGCAGGGTTAGCAAATTCGATCAGGATTCCAAAAATTAGGAATGTTCGAATGGAGATTAATCTAATTAACCAAAATCAGCTCGCTGTCCACTGTTCAAACTTACATTTGTTCTAATCATAACGCAAGCCACAGCACAGCTTTAAATAGTAACTGTGGCACAAGTTTGAATGCTGTTAATGTCATCGCTAGCTTTAAGGTGAAACTTTAATAACTTAAGGAACCTCAATGATTTTTGGAAATCAACTGGAAAAAGCTTATTGAAACCCAGCGACACATGTAACCGGTGCTGATTGATGGCACAATGGCATCGCTAACTATAAAAACTTCCACAAACGAGCTTCTAGGGCGTAGAATTATGTATTAATGTATGTGTCGATGTGTGACCAAGCTGGCTGTGTGTCTCAATCGGAGTCCTTTGTGTGGTACCTGACGTTTACAAATACGTACGTGATTCAGTTGGACAGTTACAGGAATCCACAGGGCCGTTCCGATGCATCACACTCAGTTCGAGCCGCATCGTAACGACATGGCGATCGTATATCATGACGTCTGTACACTAGATTACTGGATTTGTCCGACTTGCCGAATTCTAATTAAACCACAAAAAGTCTTTTCATAATTATGAATTCTCAGATCTAACTACTAGATAGCATTTGAAAAAACTCTGAATAATAGAATACTTGCTCTTAGAAATCAAACTGTAACTAGCGAACACGACTGGCGTGCGAAATTCGCCTGATCACCCGGGCTAGTCTCGATCTCGGAAGAATAGTGAGCTCCATACATTCTGAGTCAGAGAAAGTTCACTGGTCGTATTAAAAGTTTTTCTGTCCTTAGGAGTTAGAGTTAACACGACTAGTGGTAGATGCGTGGTGCCCACACGCAAACAACGAGCCTTTTGACTTTCTTACCTTTGTAATCTTCACTTTGGCCTTTTAGATGAATGGTCTCAAAAAGGTCCAATGTTCTATACCCTAACGATGCTACTGTTCAATGTAGCACATGTTTCCATGCAAGGTAAATCAACAGGGTTTTCACCCCTATTACCTCAATTGTCAGTTTTAAAGAAGCACAAGATAGACAGGCAACAAAATGAGGCAGTGCATCCGAAAGCGTTAAAGGGGTCAAGCTGCCTATTTCAAAAAAAGCTCCAAAAAAGCGCCAAACATTTCGCTAAATTTGCCAGAAGTGCCCTGTGGCTAGATGACAAGAAGATATAATTAATTACAAATTACTAATTGCTGACCCCACCTACCAACACCAAACCTATATTACTTATAATTTCATGACAATATAACAACTAGTAATCGAATAATAACAACAATAAGTACTGACGTAAAGCGCACTGTGCTGAATAGTGATGCCAGTGACATGCATGTTCAGTCAGATCATATGATGTTTAGTTCTGCTGCGACTATTGTTTATCGTTGAATGTAACCGTAACAACACTTTCACAATGCCGATTCGCTGTCAGATTAGGTGTGCAGGTGGTATGTGGGTCCATGACACAGAATGTTTATCCGAGAGGCACAGAGGCCCCCGTTGACAATTAGCCGTGAAGGGACTTCGAGCTTAGTTTATATAGACTATAGCTGGTGATTGGCGACTGGAAATTGGTTGAGAACATTAGGAAGTACTGTATATCTTTAACTACGTTTTTGACACGATTACATATGTCGCCGACGAATTGGGTTCGGGAAAAATGTCAATCTTTGGAGCTGACATAAGAATACTACAGGCGTTATGAGACAAAAACTTTGTACAAATTGTTTTGGCTATTGCAAACCAAACTTCCTTCCTTGTTGATCGATGGACCTATTTTCTACCCGGCAGCGTCCGTTCCGGATGTATGCTAATGAAGTGCTGTTTTTCCCGACCAGAATAATAGCAAACCCCTACTATTACTTTGATAGATTGATGCGGTTACCTCTTTGCGAGGGCTGTTGCTCCAGGGAGCGAGTGTAATGATCATTTTCCAACAAGCCCATTGCATAATGGGCTGATTGCCATGCACTGAATATTAACAACACACACACACACACATACACAAGGCACATATATATTAAGGAATACACGCAGGCCGAGAGTGTATGGTTTCGATAACGTACTTGAGTTCTATTAAATTTATGAGTTTGATGTCGAAAAAGATAGGGACATCCGAACACAGAAACATCGTTATATTAGAATTGCACTGTGGCCTGATGACTGTAACCCGATAGCATAGTTTCAATAATAAATAAACGAGCGCGTAACGCCCTCTCGGAAAGAGAGTAGTGCACCACCGGTATAATATGTACCCTGTACTTTTATTTGCGGGTTTAGAGAAAAAAAAGTATTGCCTCAAATGATAAAAAATCAAACTCATTTAGGGTAGTCTTCAGGAGCTTATACGTACACTAAGTTATAGTATAGTATATACTAAGTTTACCAGAGAGTTAATTATGGATTCACAGTTTGTAACAACAGCATTGTTTTAAGGTAAGCGCGGCTAAGTAAATGCACTGAAAGCGATGAATCCGGCGAGGTTGAGCATTACTGATATCGCCATTACCGGCTCCATTCACTTTAAAACAAGCCTCTGCAGCGTAAAAATGTATCAATTTTAGATTCGACGCGAAGTGAGGCAGTGGATCCTCAATACGATGCCATTTATCCAGATAATATTAAACAGTTAACCTTGACATTTACCGGGTGCATTGCAAAATAAAGAAACTCTCCCGAACAATTAGTGTTGATTGAGGCCTGAGACGTTTCAGCTTCGAAAAACTACGATTATTACAATTTTTACCGATAAGCAGAATCAGTTGTGTCCATTCGTCAGCTAGTTTCGCGACGAAAAGATTTGTAACAAATGTGCTATACCTTGCTGGTGTCTCTTCAGCTTGAATTCACGAGTCGAAAAGCCTAATAAGTACCGAGATGACGTGTATTTTGCCAGCTGTGAAATGGACTTCACTGCAATTACTAACTTTATGGATGCTGCCATCCATACAAGCGTGCAGGCGTCACTCTACATAGAGGTATGATTTGCAACAATAGGTGCATATATTATATTACGATTATAAGTACAACCATACGTCAAGAATCTAGTTAGGTCGATTCTGCTGAAAAAAAACATCGAATGCCATTTAATTTCATTATTATACTCCAAGTGTCTAATTATTGACAGTGTCAATAATGGTTTTGTTTAGTAGCACCAAAAGTCTCTTCATTAATTGACGACTTAATTGCCACAAGAAATATATATATACAAAATGTACACTACATAAAGCTTATAAACATAACAATCCTAACTTAATCACAACAGTTCCTACCTAGTACCTACTTTTTCTAGACCTCTATCTACTTATAGGGACTATTTTGAAAGTTCTTACCACACCAATGTACATACACGTATATTAATTTGCTACAGGCGCATAAACCCAAACACGATATTGCACTCTTTATCCAGAATAAAAAAAACTGAAAGAAACGCCCAGGTTGACGACACGTGCTTGCTGGTATGTGAAAAAACAGCATTTTAAGCTGAGGCGATGTATTAGCTGGTAAGAGTTTGTGAGAGTCAATCAAAGACGTTGGCGCCAATATCAGCATATACAGACGCACGGAAGATGAAGTCGTCCAAGCAATTAAATATTTAGCTAAGTTTTAAGAGTATATTAGTAGCACGCAAAAATAAGCCATGTAGGGGTACTATTCATTGTCGCTTAGTTTATATTTTTGAATGTTTTTTTTTCGAAGCCTTTAGCCAATACATTGTACTATGTAATAACAGATTACAGGTGCAACACTAATAGTATGAACAATTATTAAACTTTAAGTTAGAGGTGCGAAGTAGCTTTTCCAGATAGTGTACTTTCATTGCTTGGACTTTAACCTATTCCACGTATAGGATGCATAGTGTGCATATATCTTCGTAAATATCATAACTGGCTTGACGTAGAGGACGAGTTTTTAAAGCACACATATATAGTCTCTGGCCGAATTCGGGAGTTTGCCACATTCGTTAGTCATCCATTTAAGAGACGTTCAAACCGGATACGCCCACTTTAAGCTCGTTATTCTTGCGGGCTGTAGTCATTGAACTCGCGTTGCATTTTTTTAGTCGTAGGCCGATACGCGGGGTAAACAGAAAGCGTGCAAAGTAAGTCGGCGCATATCCAGTAGGAACACAACCTTGAGGCCAGTGGACACGCCCGGAACAAGTGCAAATTCACGCAGTCTCGATCTTTCCCCTATGACACGCTAGCTAGACTGTTTTGAATACGAATTGAACTACGCTGCTCGAATCTCTTAAGTGATGGAACTGATTCCAATGACGTCCTCATAACGAAAACTTGCCGGTTCTACTGTATCTGCTGTCGATGTATTTACTAGCAAGTTTTAATAGTAAATGTCATTTTTTGAAGTTTGTGGTTCGCTGTACGACACGGACTTTCGACAGATGTTCATATCCTTTTGTACAAAAATTTAGATAGGAATGCAATATAGAAAAGGAATATAGGAAATGGAAAAAACAAGCTGTTTTAGTCGAGTCTCGATAGCTTTTAATAAGTCAAGTACTAGGAGAGTCAAATGACACAGATATAAGTATATGAGAGTTTGCCCTATAAGCTTAGACACGCATATAAATGGGTGAATAACAGTGAAATAATAACAAGTGACTTGTGCCGTTCCGCTCAATATAGCAAATGTTGTGGCATATTATATTAACGAACTGCCTGAGTAATTATCACCAGGTGAAAATCACCCATTATTATTTGTCAACGAAACATACCTGTGTGATACGGAATTATGAAAGCAGGTTATCTGTAGTAAGCAATATACCCTCCCACTGAAACCAACATTTTTTAATTAATATCACCACTTGCAGATTGAAAACAACAAGAACGTAGAGCAGCATGAATGCTCGTTCGTGGTAGTTTCGGAACCTAAAACTTTGGATGCTTCGTCTCTCCCGTTTTGACATAGAATGTATATATTCTAAAAAAATTCCCCTTATTCCTTGTATTTCTAACATATCTGTATTACAAACCTTACAAAATATTTCATTTCATCAACAAATCCTAATGAAACTGTTCATAGACACAACACATTAATTCAATGACCGGCAGTCCGTAACGTGACGCTGCCATGCCAACTGCTATTGCTTGTACTCTTCCATTAGACTTTGTCTGGTGTTATTGAATCATACGCTCCGCATAGCGTCTTACCTTCTTCTGACATGATTGTAACGGCAGGTAGCCTACTCTGGTAGTGGTAAACAGTTCTTCTGGACGGATACCGATACACGACGGTATGACACTTTTTTCCGGTGTGTAATAGAAAATGCAATTGTGTATCCACTCGACACACACATCGATGAAAACTCATACGGCGAGCTACCGCTGCTCCTGTAACGTCTAATATTAGTGAAGGTGCCGCTGTTATCTTCGAATGAGCCCTTGTTTCGCGCGCAAACTAGCACCCAGAAGTCCCGCCGGCGACTGTCGATAGCAACTGAGACTCAACCGGGAACAAAACACCACCATGAATCAATAAGAGGCAGTCCTCTGTCGCTTCTTGAACCACTATTATCTACATTTTTTTTTTCTTTATCGTTGGACAACTGTAAGCTGCCAAACTGTCTAATCCGCAGGCACTACACGTACATGCTACACGGCTGTATGTGTATACATAGCTTTTTGTGTTTAAATAACGACGTGAACTTTCCCAATTTTGCCAGGTAAGATGTGTCCCGCACTTAGTACATTAATTGGGTTCCTTCCCGCTAACGATGCAATTGTTTGTCCCGAATTTTCAGGCTGGCAGAGCAGCAAGGAGGCATCATAGAACACCGTGAAGTTTTTTCAGACCAATCTACCAAATGACCGTCAACGAGCATCAATAAACCGACGTGTAGGTCAACCAATCGTTAGGTGACTGGTATCTTGCTGTTTGGTGTCCGGCTTTGGATGGCCTTAAACTGCAACTATTACCATCTCTACTGTCGTTACCTTCTTCCTTGTTATCATATACGCCTCGGCCATTCAGGGTTTTTCTCTATAGCGTTTTTTAAGCGGCAGCTCCATACAGCTTTGGCCGGCATTCCTTGCGATGACTGACTGCCTAACCGTCCAACTGATCTGTCGTCGTCCAGCTAGCTCGTTCGTCGTAGCGATGCAAATATCTATTTACTCTTCGAAGAATCCTTCAAGCTAGGTGTTCTGCGGCGTGTCTTGAGACAGTGTCAACTGTATGAGCCTCGAGCTTGACTATCGTCCTGTAACTGCAGCGGCTTACTGGCCACAATAGTCGCGGCTGCCGACTTCTTTTCGCTACAACTATTCTAGCGGCTCTTTTTGTCGTCATTGTCGTTCGCGCTGGTGCTGACAATGCTAAAGACGACTGCTGCGGGCTGGTCTGGACCACGACACCGATCAGATGTACAAAGGAATAAGGCTGCAAGAGCTGCTGCTGCCGTTAGAGGTCTGTTATAGCCGGTCGCTTTCTACTAGAAGCCGTCAGTCACCGGTGAGCAGTTAGCATTGGAGGCAGGCACATTTGCAGCGAAACAGCGCAATCTTTGGCCGCTTTGTTCGTCGTCGCCGTCGTCGTCGCCGTCGTCGCCGTCGCCGGCCCCCAGAAGCTTGTGGTAGCCACAGAGACGATGCTGGTTGCTTCGTGGACCCGCACGCTTTCACGCGTGCCACTTCTACGTTTAAGGAGACAGAGATTGTGGGCTGCCGCGGAAGGCAGGAGTCACTCGCGCGACAACGGGGCGCCGCCGTCGCTGCTATCGAAGTCGGTGTCGGCGGTGATATAATCCACCACACACTCGACGATATTCACAGTATATTTCCGTAGTCGTAAAGATGAACGTTGGATGATCATTGGAGTTAATTACACTAGTTATTATTACAACGGGTTAGCATTTGTTGCGGAAGTAGCCGTAATCGCTGCTGGCGTTTATAATGACGACGACGGCGATGGTGATGACGATTATGGCGGTAACAGTCGAAGTAAAAGGAGCAGTTGCTTTTGTTTGTCGCTGTATTAGTCGTTATTAATTATTTAGCTATGTTTTTGTTTGTGGACATTATTATTGCTGCTGCGGTAGTTGCCTCCGTTGCCATCCCCTGCAGCACGACGTACACCACCACTACCATAAACAGAGAGGGGCGCGTGGTGAGGTGGGAGGCGGACCAAGGCGCAGCTTGATGGTACACTGAATGAAAACAACAGCCGATTCACTTAACCGGCGACTAACAGCAGCAGCAGCAGCGACGGCAACGAAAACGCCAGACATTGGTGTGATCATTACGGGTATCAAATAGCACTAGGGTTCTTTGATACTTGACAGCGCCCTGATTGCTTGCAGCACAACTTCTTCTGCCGCTCCGAAGATGGACACAGCTGTCGATGGATAAACTAACAAATGAACGTCGACAGCAATGGTAACAATACGCCGCACTGACACCACAGCTGACCACAGTCTACCAACTACGAACGAATGAAATCTCGGTTTTGCCGTCGCTACCGACCCAGTTGTTGTGCCCATTCGTGCTGCTACACACGGCAGTTGCTCATATCTAACACTACAGGTATATCCATCCTGCTGACTCGTCTGTGTATCCACTGCCGTGAAACACTGTCAACACAGTGGAACGCACTGCATACCGCGAATAATACCAACAGTCCAAACAGGCAGGACTGGCAGTACAAACGTCAACACCAGCAGCGTCACATAGAGGTAAGCAAGCCTTCACGATTAATTGCAGGCATAGTACTCGTAGCAATAACAGTAGTAGAAGTCAGTTGCAGGTCGTCGGTGAAGTCAACGGTCGGGATTAGTCAAAAGCGAACACAGCGACGACGGCCATCCGCTAGCGACGACGGACAGCAGCGTTTCGAAGCCGTCAACAACAACAACAACAACAACATTAACGACAATGTTGCCGCTGCTGTTGTTGTTGTCGTTTGCTATCATTCCTGCTGACTATGGATCGCTCCAGCGACCGCTTTTGCACACGTCGCTAACGAAGTGAACAACAAATGCGAGCCGTACGGAAGAGTCTACCGATCCAAGCGACGATGGACCCCCATGGACTGAGGAGGTAACTGTCGGGCGGATCGCCCGAGCTCCCGTTGGCGTACGCAGCAGAGAAAAATACAAACCACTCCTCAGCGAGACGGTGGTAACAGAGCGTGTTGGTGAGTGAGCTAGCGAGCAACCCAGCGACCAAACGAATTAGTCAGCAACCACAGCCACAACCAGCAAGCCAGTCAGCGCACCGCACCGCAACAACAAAACAGAATCTCTCCCGGTCGCTTATCTCCGGCTGTACATACACAAGACGGACAGTGCCCGGCGGTAGCGGTTGGGGTCGCAGCAGCTGGCTGGATAATAACTAACCAGCGCTATACGATTAAACAATGACGATGATCGCCTGCCCACCCGTCTGCCTGCCTGCCTGTCTTTCTATCTGTCTGTCTGTGAATCTGTCAATCCGTCTGTCTGGCCGTTTATCCAGACGTTGTCCATGAGTAGCAGTGGCACCGGCAGCGCGCCAGACCTTTACTGGCTCTTCTTTCCAATTCCTTCAGCTGTTGTATTCGTTGTTGATGCTTTGCTGATTGATATACTAATAGCCGTGACGGCCGCTGCCCCGTCTGGACGAGCCAGGTCTCTCACGCGGGTTCCAGTTGTTGTTGTTGTTAATGTCGTTGTCGTCGTCGATAATAATAACAATAATAACAGCGGCTAGCGCGCCTGAGTCTGGAGAATGAAGAGTCCGTGAGTTCCGCGGATCAGCAGTCGCCCTCCGCGAGTTAGCGCGACTCGAGGACTTGTTAGAAAAGACGAAACGAAAGCAAGGCGCCGACAACTGGAAGAAATGATAACGATTGCACTAATCTGTAGGTGGCTGTTAGGTAGTAGTTATAAGAGGAGTTGGTAGAACATTTCTTTTAATTCCTCCGATGCTGCCAGCGACAATATCGGTACTAAACGCACGGTTACGAATGGATTTGATGCGAATACAAACTTCTATCGAAACTGTCAACATGGACGAATCGAGAGACGGGCTGGTGGTGTCGGTGTAGCGGCGAAGGAAATGAGTGAGGGTTAAGATTTCACTAGAAAGTGAGCCCAATGCCGCTCGATGAGTGCTATAGCACTGCTGCTGTCTCTCCGCTTGTGCTGATGGGGAACATGCGAAGGCTACGGCTGAATCTAGCAAGAGCGCCAGAGGGCACTAGCGCAGCCGAAGCGGCCGTGAGAATAACACAGGTCATATGGAAACGTAGACTGTGCACACAGGTGTGGCGAGGGTGGAATTAGGTTGAATCAACGTAAACGTGTAAGATTTGCGCGATTATGTGCCGTGGAGACTGGTAGAATCACATGTAGACTAGCCGATGTAGTTATCTAATCCGTGCAGTTAACAGTGTACTGAAAAAATAAATGATTTCCAAGAGCATTGGTATTTCCAATACTTCGAGTAACAATGGTGACGACTCAACTGAATGTTAGTTAAATGTCACTGATGATTTAATTTGGTCGGAGGAGACTGAAGGTCTGCTCCTCGTTGCATGATGAAATGTCATTTCCAAAGTGTTCCACGTTTATTTTGTGTAAGAAACTTATTCTAGCTAACTCATTGTTGACAATAGGGCCTATTTTGTCAACACCAAATGTATATAGTGCACAGAACGTTTCCAACCCATCGATTGTTCAACGCTGTTACAAATTCGAGTCGAAACGTGGCATCGTGGTGCTAGATCGTTTCGCTTTCAAACTATAATTATTATTAATGTTTTGGATAAAGAGGCTGATGATAGATCAGTGTAATTTGTAATCTGATGCGAAGTAGCCCAGCCCCGTGCGTCTAGTAACTTGCAGTAGTGAACTGCGGTTAGGTCTGGTAAGACAGAAAGCGGCGCCTAACAACAAACATGATCTTGTGTTGCCTTGATTCTGCTATGTATGACTGTTTGTGTGATCCTCGCAATCCGAAGCGAGAAACAGCCGTTTGTTCTAGTGCAAAGCGACTGGTTAGATTTGCCTTTATAGATGTCCCTTTCTAATTCATCTAAAAGATAGCCTCCCATGCGGCATACCTCAAATTTGGTAACTGTGTTATGGCTATCGTATGAAGCATTGCTCTTGGCACACCCTACAATGCCTTACAAATTCCAATCTTTGACCCATTTTGAATACATTTACCGAATCCCTGATTCGGTACCCATATTCGACCTCTTGCCTACGCAACCTATAAAGTTAGCAAAACTATACTCAGCACCACATGGCGGCACATTGTCATTGTTGATTAATCAATTGTTTTTGTGCCAAACGCCGGCCCGACGGACTAACCTGTGCTTGCTGATTGCAAAACGCTGTTGCAGAACGACGTTGCGGCTGGCTTGAAGGGGAGGGCAGGTCCTCACACTATATCACAACCTATGCCTCTATAGTATACAATACACAGACAGGGGCTGGGGAAAATGCGCTTAACAGTAGGCCTCTATGGAAAAACTGAAATATTTTCATGACATTTTGCATGGAATCAGCCATAACGAGAACGTTGCGATGCAGAATGTGCATGCTTCAAGCGTGATTCAAGCCGTCTAAGTGGACTCCAAACGCGATAGAATATACCAGCTGACTGATGCCTTCTAAGATGGTGAGTCTTAAGCGGTGTCGTTTCCCGACTGGAAAACTGGTGCAGGTGGATCCTTACCTAAATATCGTTGCGTTGCATCACTTCAGACGCGGCATGAATCTGTAAAAACGAAGAAAATCACCACTTTTCACGACACCCACCCGTACAGCACACTTCAGTCTGCTGGAGTGGCAAGGTATCGTCTGCTAGACCGTTCCAGCCCGACTGGGCAGCCCGCCCAGGACCTCAAGGCCATGGCCGTGGCCGGGCTCACCACCGACCGACTAACAGAGTGGTCAGCACTTTCAGTAGCAGAATAAACTTTTGAGCTTGAAAACTTCTTCCGAACTAGTAGAGACCTTCGGGAAAACTGGCAAAATGCTGGCTCATATCCGGGAGAAATCGATCGCGGGTTTGGCAATAGGTTTATGATACATGCGAGATTTCGCTGTTTAATCGAAGGCTTGGCCATTATTCGGTTTTCAAGGTCGGGCTCTACCCGCCAGCTAAGACCCGGGCCACGCCGATGCCAGCTTATCTTCCTTAGGCTATTACAATGGCAATGTCAACTAAACCCACATAGCAAGTAGTATAGTATGTACTTTGAATAAGAAATACGGCAGCACTTGTTCACTCTGAGAATACCAAACAGTTTCTAATCGGGTTTTCCTACCGCACCTCCTAATCTGCTACCTTGCGTCTAAATACTGTATTACTTCGGATAAGTTAGCTTTCTGTGCCCTAAGTACAGTGGTAACTTTGTGACATTGTGACTAGTTGCTGATTTCTATAGGACTTAGCGCATCACCGTCCGCTGATGTTCCGCCGCTTGTCTGTGTATGACGGGATTCTTTGCCAGATTTATGGCAGCTTTGCTGAGGTTAAAGTCTATTTTCGTTCTGCAAAAACTAGAGAAGCAAAGCAGATTTCGTAGTACAACACCTTATATTCAGCAGGAAACCAATTCGATAGTTAATTAAAATGTTGTGCTTGTTCGATGGTGTTTTTTGCTGTTTTAATTATGAACTATTTATCTAGTAGTATTTTAACCATTATTTAATTTCATAAGTCTGGAATATAGGCTTTTCGCGAAATGAACAGTCAGGGAGCATGTAACCTGTATCGAAGAGTGTGTGTATGTGTGGAACAAAGCTGGCCGAATCACGGTTCGCTGGGGGAAGCTGTAAAGCAGTGTCCTGTGTGGGGCTGACGTCGAAGCTGCTTTACTCAGTTCCGCCCTTGAGCTAGACATTGGACATTCGCACTGAACACTTGACATTCTTTGAACGGCGGGGGAAAACTTCTACGCGCTCCAAGGATGCTTTGCAGACAATTTTCCTTCTCTACTAGAACAGAAGCGGAAGTGTAATGTAGCTGCTAAATATGTAAATAGCATTTTTGACTGTATATACATTTATAAGTAAATGTTGACGGATTCGTGAAATATATCCAACAGAAAAATGGTATTATACATAGTAGTAGGTAAAAAAAATGACTAAGTTATTTTTCTATGTCTACTTATCATTAAAAGACGAGGCAGATCCAACCTGTAATCGATATATTCCGTTATGAAGCTGTTTTATTTGTTGGCCATGGCTTACTATAAAAAAACTCTAGGAAAAACAAAGCAAGTTTACAAGGATACACGAGAGTAGAATCGTGACTACGATTGGATTTTGTTAGGTGAAGACAAATCTTTTATAATTAGTTCGGGTCCTATAAGAAAGCTGGCTTATAAGGTGCTTAACGTATCGAAGATCGGTCAGATAGCCCACATATTTTAAGTGCACTGGTAACGTATTTGCTTGCTACATTTAGAAACACATGGTGGTCTAGGTTCGAATTTGGGCGTAGACACTTCGTTCCGTGCCAGAAGATAACAGCCCTCTGGAACCACACCTAACGATTCAAGTGCTGAAATCAAATTCGGATTTTTGGGTAGCTTATATTTGGTACAAGCAAATGGTTCTATGTAGTCATTTGTGCCATCGGACACTAAACGCGACTTATTGCTAAGAGCATGTTCGTAACAGGTATGATACAACTTCTGTCTGGTGTTACTGGTTATGAATTATGCTGTATAAATACCAATTTACTGTATTTGAGCGTATAGATATACAATTATGGACAGCTGACGCCATGGTACGTTTCTCATACAGCAGCTTCTAGATTTCATTAGTTTCGAGATCTCGCCGTATTATAGATGCTGCCTAAGTATATCGATTTATGTTTAGGTTCGGAATGTTTCTCTATTAAGCGGCTACTTTTAAATATAACATACCCATTTAGCTATGACATTGACAGGCAGTTCGTACAGCTAACGGCGTCATCTTAATTTTTTAAAAGTTACCGAAGTAGATTGCGATTCTAGTCTCGTGGCTTTGCGATATAGGCATTACTTGTAATCTAGATTCAATGTACGAAGAGTATATTTGTGCAACGAAAAGTGTAGCCAAGACCTACGAAGTCCTTTTATTTGAGCCAAAATATAGTGATATTCATTTTTCAGACTGAATACTTTTCTAGCGGTTTTGGTGACTCTTGAGCTCGCTTTCGATAATCGATATCCAAAATTAAATTAAACGGAAATTAAAACTTATAATTATGTAATTAGGTAATTTGGCAATCAGTGTCTTTTTGATGGATTCATAAAATACGTAGCAGGCTATGATAAAACATCAAATACTTCAAATTCATCTTATACATCAAGGGTTATCAGCACAGGTACTACGTGTAGTTCTCGAGTGCAGCCTCGTTTGTCTCACAAAACATTTACAATAGAATTTCTGCGACATCAAAGTCAAGCACACACGGCACATATCGAGATTGGAACATTATAAGGTCGAGCATGCACCTTACGGCTTCCGTAGTGATGTCCAAAATTACCTGATAGTTGTGAGGTGCTTCAGGCGTTTGAGGATCGACCTCAAACGGAACTCTGCGATACCACAATCTGTTGACAACCGTCTTGCATAACTGGAATCATGTGAAACTATTCGAATAGAGAGGTTCAAACTGGACGAGAAAATTATTTAGGGATAAACATCAGTTTGATACACCTGATAACTTTTCTTGCATCTAGCGCATTGGTAATCGTCCCAACTGCTACTATCTACTCAAAACAGATGATAGTGAATGCTACAAGCAGCATGACGAAGTACATGTCAGCTCGAGAGACCAAATAATTTCCAAGCTCCATTTATTGATAGTGCACAACGAGAACTTAAATTGGTTACTTTACACTCAGGCTCATAAATGAATTGACTGCAAACTAGATTCTGTGGTGAGCTGGATCCCTACTGCACATTTGCCGCCGGCCTAGGAATGGAGCAGAGCAGATTTCTAATTATTGTCAGTGAAATATATGCCATGTGCAACATCTTAAATAGGAAACAAAACTCTGCGTATATTACAATAGATGCGTGGTTGCTTAGACGGCCAAACTTCTGTCTGAAAGAGACCAGGGGTCACTCCTTCAAGTTCCGTCAACCACACGTACTAGATGACCTGTGTAAATATATATATCTAATCTATAATAAATAAATCTATAAGTATCGGATTTGTGATGATTATATGAAGACGAAAAGGCATCGGTTTATAGCAATTCCCTGTTACAAGACGGTGTGAAACTGGCGCAGATTTTATGGGTTGATTTGTGCGCGCACCGGGGTTCTTCCCTTCTGTCCAGTTAAAGGCGTCCCAATAAAACATTGTTAAAACAAGAAAGCTTTAATCGAGGTACGTTGCGTTACAATCGGCAACAATCGTTACAAAATCTTTTTGCAATTGGCCAAGCTTCCTTAGTAAAATCACCTCAAATGCTTAGGTACGATGTTTCTAATTATTAAACTACTCCGTTGGGGCCTAAAATAAATCTTTTGTCTTATGAAAAGAAAACATTTGTAATATATGTATCTGTTATTTGAGTCCTGCATAGAACAAGCATCAACAAGCTAACAAAACGACCAACATGTTGAGGCCAATATATGTGATAACTTTATTTTGCGTTAAATTTAGCGCATGACGTTTAGCTCCTCGCTAAACCATTCTTCGGACACGCAGCAACTTTAGCTGAAAGATGCGATTATCTGGTCGGAAGTCACCGGTAAGTCGTTACAGCCGTTGCCGTGAAACATCGCAACGAATTCGACGGTGGGCAAATACTTCAAAATGGACAAATTAAGCAGCTCATCATGCAGCAAATGGAAAGCTGTGCAATAGGTAGAAGCATCTTGTTAGAGTCGACAGAATAGACACAGAAGATATTTGAATTAATGTGTCCTATGCTAAATATTATAAAAGAGCGTTAAATTCCTTTCTATCAGGTGCATGTAAGCAGTTATGTTATACAAACAACGGAAATAAACATCAGTACATTCAGTGATTGCAGTTTTTGTAAATGTGGTGATTATTTCCTGTGTGTATTCAGCAATGACAGACACGCATAACAATGGGGACGCAAAAGTATTGCTGGTAACCAAGACGTTTGTTGTTGATTGTCAGAGGTTTTTTTGTGTAACTACAATAACGCATAACAAGTAGAGTGAATATTGTGTGACGAACCTCAATCATCAGGTAGAAAAGGACTGTGTAGAGGACAACTGTTAAGAGGATCATGCAAACCGATAGCATCAGCAAAATATATTTGAGTTCCTGTGCTTTGTCGTCATTGAACATGGACACGATGGAGCCACTTGGTTCAACTGCGAGCTGGTGACTGTTTTCGTTGAGTTTGTATCCGAGACTTCCTTCGTAACGGTCTTGAAGCAGCTCATATTTGGCGGAAGGGGCAGCCGGGATGAGATACCTTGCTTGAGCGATGTTGTCCTTATAATTTAACAGAAACACAATAGCGCACGATTAAAATAGATTTTTTTATGTGTAATGTATTAACTAATAAAAGATGTGTCAGTGACCGAAAAATAAAGTAGATTACATCAAGGGGGGTTGCCGGAAGATCTTTAATGTTGCGATGATTAGAGTTCCTGAAACTGAAATCAGACGAACTTCTTGTCGGTTGAGAGTCGTTTTGAAGCCGGGTGATTGATAGGACATTATTTAGGAGGCATAATACCCAATTAATAAACTGCTTAGGTAATATTTTAAAAGAAATAACCGCTGTTGGGAAATCCTAAGTCATGGAAACTCTACCATCATTGTTGGCCAACTAGTTGACATTAGGTTTCAACATATACTAATTACGATTACTCATCAGTTCATGAAAACGTATGCAATTATCGAAAAGGAAACGACACGTAAGAAGACTGAGAACGAGAAGTGTTGCCATGTGTTAAAGGTGAATAAAGAGCAAGTTGAACAGTACCACTAGATTTCTTTCGTTAAGAGGAATTAGTTTGGCAGCTGGTAGCTTATTTCCAGTCACGGGTCCCTGCAGGAAATTGCGTAGTGGTACGGGGTTTTCGTGAAGTCGATAAACTGATGGAGCATCGTTTGGGACTTCAAAGTCGTGCTAATTACATGAAAACATGGTTAATGACCAGTTCATATATATAGGAATTAATTAATATTTATTAATTATTATTATTAATTACAAATTAAATATTACTACTATTATATTTATTAAGCTATTATAAACGAATTTGGCGGACTTTGAAATTACATAGTTCTTGAACTACGCGTTAGTGGGAGGCCAAATTTGGCTGTTAAATACTTAAGCTTTCTAAAAACTTGTAAAAACTGGAAAAATGGGTCCCCCGTGAAATGGCTTCCAACCAGCCGAAAAAGCGTGTGATATTATCCTAGTACAATCGCATACGGCCACCATAGACGAGTCATGGTGCAGTCTCCATTGCCAGCAGAAGCGTAAACAGGTGACAGAATGGCGTCGCTTTAGACAGAAAAATCGGATTCAGTGGCAGTGCGAAGTAGATTCGGACATAAGGTGATGATAACACTTGCAGTGGGCATCAGCGGCATCTGGTACTACGAAATACTAGTTGAACATGAAACAGCGAATTCAGCCCTCTACTCCAAGTTCTTCAGGAGACTTACAGGCGGTTGGCAGGACAATCGAAAGCATCTTTTAGTATATGACGATAACGCCAAACCAACTGCGGTGCCTCAGTTACTTATTTCATTGAGCACAGGAATATCCAGTGTTAGTTTGGACATCCTTATTCTCCCGACCTAAATACATGTGATTACAGGGCTTTCTGTGCTTTAAAAATGACAACTGATGGGCAAGCATACCCCATTATCGATTTACTTCGAGAAGCCATTGATAAAGAAAATACATATGAGCACGCGTATACGTATATGACTGCCCAGCAGCTGTAAAAGCGCTAGAACTGTATAAAAAGTAGAATGAAATATCTAACTGTATTTTATGAAGGATCATTTTTCTAGCCTAGCTAATTTAAAAAGTTTTTAACTGTAACTTTTTAACTGACGAACTTCGTCAGATTCGCTTGTGATTGTTTGGTAAATGCTTTTTAAGTCGTCGATCATTGGATCTATAGAAACGTTAAACGTCGCTCAGAAGCGATTGCCAATGCATCTTCAAAGTTTTTACGTACTCCTTTATAGCTTCCGCAGATTCCTGTATCCTTTGAGGGAATTCTTTGCAGTTTTGCGTAGTTCAATAAGTAAGGAATAAAGTAAGAACTAGTATAGCTAATAGGCAATAATGCTGTCTCTATTTTTACCTATTTTTTTTTAATCTATTTTTACTCTATTTTTCTATTTATGTACCGATGCTCTATTATACTAGCAAAATCCAGCTACACCATCTCCGAAGCATATATGGTCGGAAGCCGCAAATAAGCACAGCATGAGTCTGTATTGCTCCATTGCAAACAAGATATTTGTAACGAATCGTCGATGACTAGTTTTATGCACACCTGTATAGTGTAAAATACAATTAATATATATATATATATATATATATATATATATATATATATATATATATATATATATAAAATACAATTATCATTGATACGCCTCATGCAGCTTTGAATTTCGGAAAAACTGCGAAGCGACCATTTCGAACCAACTAATACTGGTAACTCACGCCACATAGTGTATCATAAGAGAAAAACGCATCGAACCAATGTCAAACTTACACCTTCAAGCTTCTTTTCTATTATATTCTTAGTCATGGGAAAAATCAAATCGCATATTGCTGCTTACTAGTTCATCCATTCGTCCAAGCATTCAAATATATAAAAAGAAAAAAGCAATCTATGAAAAGCCTGCCTGATCGTATTGATTTCCGTAAAGAATAGACAATTACTGTCTACTTTGAATTGAACTACTATATTCACTGTCGTAATTTAAACATTTGACAAAAAATGCTTATTACATACATATTTATCTTAATATGCAACAATAACAATATAACAATTAAAAAAAATATGTTAAGTATAACCTGTCAATCCTTTATTAACACGGTACTACGACACGGAAGGAAAATAGCTATGAGTAGAAATAAGAATGGAGCTGAGGACAAGAACTGCGCAATCGAATACCAGTAAATTGGCCTCATTGATGGGTTCGAAGAAATGGAGTTCCTTTTCAGCCAATATATTGTCTGGTCTAAGTTGTTGCCTCGCGATATTACGCGATATTAACGGGACATCGATTTGGAATGGAGGCAGAGACAGTGAAGTATTGTTTTCCTATTTAATCAAAACAGAAGTAAAGCGTTAAACGGTTAATTTTCCTCAAGTAACCGGTATAGAGGGCGCACCGCTCCTGGCGAATCTGAGAATAAGGAACACTATAGGGTTTAAAAACGTTTAGTCCCATTAGTTCCTGACCACCCTCCATCTAGCTACGTGCTATCGTTTCTCCTATTTTCTTATTTAAAACACTTCAATAGGTAATTATTCCTTTTGCAGTTAGCAGTTAATATAAAACAACGGTTTAATAAATAATTTACCGAGCACAAATTAGGATATCATCGTTCCCGTATTAATTAAACTTATAGGAAAAAACTTGCGCCAGAGCGGTCTTTTAGCCCTGACGATTTTTTTTATTATGTACTTTTTGACTGGGGAAGTTTATGGAACTATTATTACAATACTACATCGAAAGGCCTAATAGACAACAGTAGGCTAGTCAGGATACCAAACTGTAATGAGCAAAATAATTCAAAAAATAGCGTGAGAAGGAACCCTATCGCAATGCGAAAAGTTCGCTGCTAATTCTGAGTGTATTTGATAAACGGCTAGCAAGGGGAAATGGATAGGTTCTAAGCGAACAACATCGACCCTTATTTTTGGGACGGGGTTAAATATGCGAATGATATATTGAGCACCTTGGAATCATCGTGAGGAACCGCCGTAGCGACAGCAGTTATGTAGTTCTCCTCTTTTGATGGCTCGTCTTCTGGTTCCGCCGGCAGCACAGTTGGAGGAGCGTTAAAGAGATTTTGAAGTCGAAAGATTGACGCCCATGCGCCTAGAATGTCGGCTATGTTAAACGGAGCGGCTGACGGTAAAGCTTTTGAAACGGCTTCGTCCTTTTAATTGTCAAAAAACAGAGTAAGCATTTAACGTCTCAAAGGAGATACCTTATCCCATGGGTTTACTCGCTTGCCATAGAGCAAAGGGGAGTATATCCTAAAAAGCATATTCATATACCGTGAATGTAAACCCTGTAAGTTAACTATAAAGCAAAGCAAGGGCAAGGCGTAGTTCATGGTTCAGAATACCGCAAATAGTGAGACTATTATTTATAACGACTGCCAAACGTGAGAAAACCGAATGAAGGATGATGTACCAATGGGTGTTTTTTCTTATAGATCAGTTCGACCACGGGAATCGCAGTGTAATTTTCCCACTCTGGTTCTTTATTTCCTGGTGCTGGCCTGTAGTACGTATGCTTCATCCGAAGAGCGTCTTGGAGCCTTCCGATCGATGGTGGATTTTCTCGAAACGGTGCAGGCGCTACGGCATCGTTCGCAGAGCCATCGTTATCATGCTTAATGAACAAATGCGCGGTTGCAAATTTATATATATGGTACAGGGTAGGGCAGAAGTCTGTCGACAGTAGTTTTGGAAATTTTAGAAATAAGCTAATGAATTTAGAGTAGAGAGCCTGCCTGCAGCTAAATACGACTTAGGTGCTTCTGACATTTCGGGCCTTTATCATTCTTCGTAATTAACAGTGGTTACATAAGATAAATAGATCAGAACGAGCGCTCATAGAAGAGGCTACATACAAATGAGAACCGATTTATAGTAACTTACTAGAAGCTGTACGGATGTCTAACGAAATTACACCTTTTCTGCGCCGTTTTTACGGTATAACATAGTCACTGTCACGATCGCACTTAAAAAGGGTCGTGCATGTGCCAAACCTTAAGTGACTACATTTTACAACGCGTCCTCTAGAAAGCCATTCTCACGCAGTTTTTTTTTTAAAGGGTAGGTTTCAAGCCTCGAATAGCTTGTGATCAAATCTTTGTCTTCAATAACAAATTTTCAACAATTCATACGATCCGAGATGCTTATTTAAAATGGCTCAACGATCTATTACACAGCCGGAGCTAGTACTTGAACCTGTGATTTGAAGTCATGAGAATACCGGATCGATTATACAGTACTATGTTGCAGTAACTTCAAGGAGTTGAATGGGTATACCTTAATGATTGACTTCAATCTGATATCATGTGCAGACATAGCAAGGAAAAGTCGTTTGTATATCGTTTTTAAGGTATTGACTGAACCAGCGTGGTTCCAGACGACTAGATAAACTTGATGTTTACTAAAGACGTACAAAATCAAGGACACCTGTTCGCGAAAACTTGACATGAATGCCGCAGCTGTGTATAAAGGTAACCTGGTTTTTCACCAGGACCACGCATTAGCCAAAAGCACTTTGGACCATCGAACACTCTTAGCTTAAAGCACGCAACGCACAGTCCCACACAGTTGTATCACGTTATGATCGCAACAGCGAGTGGTACTACGTATGTGGGTCATACCGTGTGCATTATTTCACCTGTCACTATTTCCTTTACCACAATCAATTTGCACCCGGCTAAGGTAATTTTGTTGTAACATAGGTATATTAGGTTTTGACTGTAAAAAAATTAATGAGATACAAGGTAACTACAACAGCAGTTAGTGAAATTGGGTGATTCAATGATACATCAGGTACCAATAGGTTTCCTGTCAGGTCAGTCCACTCTTTCCGTTGTGACAGTGTGTGCTTTAACGCAGGGACCTGAAACAGGCGCTTGATTCGTGAAACCTCTTTTCGGCGGCGTAGAACTTGTAGCAAAACTTTTTGAAGTCGTCCAGTTGAGGCAAGATCACTGAATATGACGACACCATTCTAGATCAACGAATGCAGAGTTGTTATTCATATTAAGAGTACGTTGTTTGTAAAATAAGTGTTTCAATATAATTTTCCATTTATGTTAGCTATTCACTAAGATTTTTGTCTAAATTACTGTTTGTCAAACTATATTTAGATCGTGATTGGTTATCAACTAAACTCATACAATTTGTATGACATTTGTCAAGTGTTTTAATGGTTCTACACTAACTCCTGTCTGTAATAGTTCGTTGTCAACCTCTCTATGAAATGGTTGGCTACTACAATAAAAAATGAATTTAACTGTATTAAATTGTGCCACGTTATCATTTTTGTTGACGACAATGGAAATTGAAACTACGTAATTTATATGCGCTCGAGTAGCTATTCACTTCTATCCGAACAGCCAAAAAGAAGATATTCTCACTTGAGGAAATCTATCTCAGAGGTGATGTGGCTGTCGAAAATGGGCATCTTGAATTGGGCAAATTGAAGTCCCTAAAAATTAATACCTAACCCAAAACTGTGGTTATATAAGCTTAAAATAGTCGCAGTAGATCCCAGGAAAGGTCTTTTTGGAAATTATTAAAAGAAATTTGTGTTACGTTATTGAATTTACAGCGCTGGGTGAAACAGAATCTATCTTAGGAAAATATATATTTGAACACTAGTAATTATTGTGACCTAGCAGTTTGGACACTAGGATTACCATGTTATTTTCCTGCGCCGTCTGCTTGCTTTGCGATGTATATTGATGAACATTCACCGTTGCAGATTCGCATCTGTCTTGAAAGCAAGAGAGGCTTTCGTTAAACGATAGTGACGAATCACGAACCGATCGATAATTACGGGGTCACTGCAAGCGGTTATCTTGCAGTAATCTACTCCAAAATGTCTACTTGATATTTTTACTATTATTATTATTATTATTATTATTACAAAATCAGATTTATCAAAAAGACCTGGAAGCTTATCCCGTAGAATTATACGGGGAACACCTAATGATTGAAATTTTATAGTATTACGGCAGCTACAGCTCCTAGTGCTGAGCATGCCAATGTCAATAGTTACGGTTTGAGTATCGTACAAGAAGGAATCGATAATACGACGACGGTGGCCACACGAAATTCTAACATCTTCAAACAGTTAATTAGCTCTAAAAAAGTGGCAAATCTAATCCTGAGGCTGTGTTGTTTTGCAGAAAAGTCATCTACAGGGAACGTTCAACTAGATTATTGGTTGGTCCTCATTCCTTCGGCAGATTTCCTCTTTTTGTAGCCATTATCGGTGCTGATTAAGCCTCGACTATGCGAAAACACATTTGGCTCTGTTAACAAGGTGGCGCTGGACGTTGTCTGGCACTGCTATAGCTGGCCAGGTAGTGAGCAATAGATTAGCAGCAATATGACAATTTCATAACAGCGGTAAACCAAGGTTTCGTTTAGCCACGATAGTCGTCAGCACCGTGGCAAACAACAAAAGCAAAAAGCAAAACAGCCAACGAAAATAGGAAGCAGTGACATTTGACGCGCTGCGTTTTTCAGTAAAATTGCGACCGGCGATACATCGTCATGGTCGTCAGCATCGATTGCCAAAGGAAAAATCCTTCTATCTAGTCTAAGGTTCTCCTATGAATCAGGTTCTCCTAGTCGGCTTATGTCCCATCACCTTCACACCATGAATACGCGCGGCTCCATAGCTTTCCATTATTACTGCGAGGAAGACCAATGGGCATTATATCTGGCATCGGCACGAGCTATAGCCACAGAATCAGAAGTGTGACTAAATAAAAACGCATGCCGAGAATAACACCACAGCTAGACAGAAAAACCGCCGATGAATTCCGGTGGTAACGACGCTTGCGATGACTACAGAGACACCAAAGGCTGTAACAGCGGCCGCAATAACAAAGATCAGCAGCAGATCGTGGAAAGTTGCGCGAGTATTGCTAGATTGTTACAATGGTGATACAACTATAGTGAAACCTACAGAGCAGTACCATTGCTTCTAACATTATTGCGATTTTGCCTTTACCTTCGCTACTGATGAGATGGTGTTGACTCCACTGACTTCGTGTTTACTCTATGTTTCTCCGGGTTGTCAATGTTTGTCGAGCGGGTTCTTAATGTTCTGATCGGCTTAGACATCTAAGTGGTGGCTCATGTTCGGTAGGCTTCGTTCACTTATCGTTGCATTGAACCCGATACTACCCGACAATAACAAACACCCTAACAACAACAACAGCAGCAGCAACAACGCTAACATTGACAGGACTCGTATTTCGAGTCCACCAACTATGTATTTGGCGGCCATTTGCCCGTCGTCGGAGTTAAGTCAAAGTGCTACCCCACTTCCTTTTCATAATTAACTGTGAACAGAACTTGAGCCCTAGTAGCAGCATCAACACTAGTTCAGAATTTCTCAACTGTGTTGAACTGCGGAGCGCTGAACTGAAATCTGCGAACGTGGTAAGCGCATTCTGCTCACCTGTGCGTTTCAGTATCGTCGATGTGCAGCATAAGAGCGACATTACAGAGGCTTTAACGACGAGTAGTTAAGTAGTTCCTTCAACGGTTCTAGCTGCTGTTAGCAGAAATTATGAAGGCTTCAAAAGGGTCCATTGTGTCGACGACACCGCCGGTGTGGATTCCGTTGGCCTCAATATCGTGGTAGCCAATATAAGAAAAAATACTTCAGGATCGGCTGGCAAGCAACAAGAGACCTGATTTTCTACCGGCAGTAGCAGCAATAAAAATAACAAAAAACTAATTTCTAACCAAGATTCTGAGGCGACCACTATTAACTGATTTAGGAATTGCACATAATAGGATAACTTCGCACTTGGTTAACAATCATAAGGTGTTGATGTATTACGGGTATTCTTACCTTACGTCGATGATTGAAAAGGCGAATATAGCAAACCACGTTAAATATCCGTAAAGCCCAAATGATGCCATACACAAACTAATACCCATATCGTTATTTTGTTCATATCGTTGTATTGCTTTATAACATTTTCTGTTGGTACATAATAGTTTCATATTCGGACGATGTTTTGTAATCGCAGATTCAAAACATTGTTCTTGCGTATCGGCTTCGTTGTTTGCTTAAAATTAAGCATGAATCACAAAAAATTTCGCTCGACACGTATTCTAGATACTGGAACTTGCTTGCGGCCAAATCTGGAAGTGAGACAATGCAGACGCGCAAGTCAGGGTACTTGCCTATACGAGTCTAATTATCGAGATTCTCGTGACCGATTCATGCTGAGGCGCACACCACAAACATATAGAAAGGCGAAGTTTGAAAAATAACTCAGCTGATCAACGTACTCCAGAGATACAAACAGTCGATTACGATCATTCAAAGTAACGTTGTAGCGTGAATTTAACTCATTTCTCATAATCAACAAGTATAATTCTGGCAATTTGTTATTAGTATTATCAGAAAAGTCATGTCATGTCGATGGGAATCTTATCAGCAAACATTTCGCTGTGTAAAGCCTTAACTTAGATACATGTACGTCTCATCCTTTTCAGATGTGCACGGCATTAAACTTAATAATCTCATCCGTTATCGTTAAACTTAAACGTCCTTGAGCCACTACCGTAACTGCGTTAGCCTTCCTGCTACTGTCGCTATCAGCATGTGTAAGCCTCTTTCCCATCTATTAACTCAACTGGTAATTAAATTGCAGTTAGCACGCACAAGTATATGGGTAATTTAGCTCAGAGTCAGCAGCACACGCCTCAAATAACCATTTCCCGTTACACTAACACTGGCCGCGTTCAATGCACATGTGCTGTAGTTTGCCTGAGCCTTTTTGAACTGAATAGGACGAATAGATCCCAGCTCTATTCTTGTTTGTTACCGCTTTTTCATCGTCTCAAAACGGTTTTCTTTTAGGTGTTCCTGGAGCTTTGTAAAGAAGCCACATTAAATTGGGTTGTGTTCAAGCAGATGAATACAGATAGTACGGTCATTTACTTATTAAATTTTTGGCCGAGACAAGGAGCAACGCGTGCGTCGGCGTATCGTCCTGGTAAGAATTCAGCGATCTGTTCTACTCTAGCTCAGGTGCACTTTAGCGGATGGCAACATTACGTAATTTTTCTTGAAAATCAGTGATAATCCTAAGTGGGGCAAAACCACTAGGCGTATTTTCGTAAAGTACAACTTCCTATACTAGAACAAGATGGCGGGAGAGGGACTTGATTTTTGTCTAGGTCTTACATTGTTTTCGGTCTGGCCTCGCCTTTGAAGTGATACCCGTTCCGTATCAGTTCATTTGAAATGGTCTGACACTTGTTTGAAATCTATGTGCAAGTGTCCTTAGGGAGACTTGGCAATACCACAGCATGAGCAACCTAGTATAAAGTCGCAGGTTCAGTCCGACGTTGGCCTTTAGCAGTGAAAGCTAATCGATACTTTTTAATCCAATAAGGGTATTCATTCGATTCGTATCGGTCGTACTCATATCTGTTTAATTTCGTCTATCTTTGTATCAGATGGTGGTCAGGTCGCCGGATATCTACACTTATTGTTAACGAACAAGTATTTAGGCATCTATTATAAATGAGAAGGTGATCTTTGGAAACACAGCTGCGTCTGGCTTTGCTCACTCGGTAAGCGGTCTGTGACCTCCATTCCGGGGACTTTCCAGGCCGCCAGGGGTCACTTCGGTAGCTGACCGGTGTGTGGAAGACTCGTAGACAACGAAGTCTAGCACTTAGTAGTACCATATAGTACCCTTAGTTTACAAGCGCTCAAAAAGCCTTTTCAAAGATTTATCATTACTAATTTTATTATTAACATCCACTATCTTTATTATCCAGAGCAGTTTAAAACTGAGATATGGATACATCATTACATTACGTAGTCAAATAAATGGATAACACAATCATTCTCACAACCGTTCTCGTCATATTCACACTACATTTGACGACACAATACATAATATTCAGGCATGTTCTGAAATCATAATATACTTGATGTATGCGTTTATAGATATAATAATATGTAGCCTTTTGATATTACGTCTTGATATAATATCTATAATAATATAAATATAATTAAATATGTATTTCTGGATAGATAAGAGAATTATAGTACATTTGATTGTGGCATTATTGCACAGCATTGTTTGTGTTTCTCCTATGGTCACCGTAAAATAACTATCTTATCATTGTATATATTGGCATGCTTTTACCATAATTAACTACGGGGTATTGATGCTAGGCTGTTAACGGGTATATTTTAAAATCGTTGCTATCATAATTACTGTTATTGTTATTATTACTACTATACAACATCACAAACATCTGATGAGCTGTTATCGGGGGAAAAATCATAACATCGTACTATTATAATTAATTGTCATACTAGTTACTGCTACCAGCACATTTAAAACGAAAAAGAAGACAGACAAACATTTATGGAATTCAAAAGAAAAAAATGTTAACTGTTAATTGTACGGGTACAACAATATAACTAACAAACCTTTGTAAATATGTTGTCACTACAAGATATAATAGGTATTTGTTTATATGCATATTTTTTGTTAATAAAAACCACTGTCGGATTGTGTGGGTCGTTGGTGCCACTTGAAGCAGCAGCTCCGAGCCTGTCTATCTTAATTATTATCACATGCGATACAGTCTGACGATAAATAGCAAAGTCGCGTAAAGCTAAACGTGATGAAAAAAAATATATTTTTGCCTAGTTTAGCATATGGTTCGGCTGTATTTTCAGATCAGAATTATCACTGTTATTATACAAAGGTGTATACCAACACTTTGTAAACTTTTTAGCTACAGTCACTGTGTATGTATGTATGATCGATCCAATACAAAGAATATCTCTGAAAGATAAACAACAAACCATGTTGCAACCATCGAATATTACTAATAGCCTACATAATGCATAACATCGATGCACAGTTCATGGTCGTAGAGCCTGTAATTTAGAATTTTGCTTAATAACAATTCGGTAAAATTCGAAGGAAGGACCCGTTACAGCAGTACTCGCTTTCAACGATATTTCCCTCTGTTTCAAATAACTGATACACTCACATATCTCAATGAGAGAATTCACGTTATAAGCACGTATCATAACGTCAATAAAACACCGTGCCGGCCTGCAACTACAGAAACAAGCAATGAGAAAGTGCGCTGCTATACACTTCTTCCCTACGGCGTCCCATTATCGAAAGTGTCGATAAAATTGAGAATGTTATAGCCAAATAGCTCAAAGTCAAATCGATAAATTCTGTACAAGGCCATAATCTGGTTTCGCTCTAGCTGTATGAAATACGTCTCCACGCGACCGAAGTCCAGTCTGCCATTTTGATATCGTGAATTCAGGCGACGGAGTTTTGACTTCATATCGGTCAGGCCGTTGTCGAGCATCGCGTCGAAATCCTCTGAGGCCGTTTCTAGTTTACCAATAAAGTCATACCCAACCAGGCAAACTTCGCACCTCTGGAAGTACGGCATCCAATGTTCGTCGAATTCAGCCCAGGGCGTTTCAATTAGATAATCAACGAAATCCGAAAAACTCAATGTTCCAGTGATATTTTTTCGAGAAGCAAATTGTTTAAAGTATTTGTCATAAAAGTAGGTCATCTTTTGCGGTTCTTGGCCAACCTTATCTTCGTAAACTGACACTAACCGCTCAAATGGATGCCGTACAAATATCGCCTTAAAGAATTTTTTCATTTTCTTTTTTGTGTAGAACTGTGGACCAACTCGTCGAATTCTATCGTTAGCGACCCTATGAAGTTGCGTGACATTTCCCCTCGATAACTGATCCGTTCCTATGGAGTTTTCAAGGAATAGCGCCTTCACAGTGGTTGAGGCGACCTTTTGCACGAAACAGAATAAGAATCTGTGTCGAATATCTACTAATAAAGGACATTCAGCTGTGCTACAATAACGGGGCCGCATTGTATCAGGAAAAAAGTTACTTTTCAGACCCCGATAATGGGGTCGATATAGGCGTTCCCGATAACGCTGGCATACATTTTGGACGCGTTTCTGACGGATATCCTGCGAGTCTGGTAGTGTCAAAACCGCTTCTATTCCACCGAAATCCGGCGCCGACCGAGGTGACGTCCTTTGATCACTAAAGTGGTATAACCAACGATGCTCAAAAAAAGCTGTCGCACTGAAGTCATACTGGTAGCCAATGAGTGTCAAGACACTAGTTAATCCTAGCAAAGCTCCAAGATCGCGACGCATGACTTCGATGTCCAAATCTTATTCCTTCTTGCGCCCAGGTACTAGAACTAGAACTTGAATATATAACATAATCGGGTGCCAATGACTCGGCCTTTCTTGAGATTCGAGTCGATTGGTAAGCTTCGTTCTGGTTTCTGCTGTTTAGACCACTTCAACAAAGCTCAATGCTGCATCTTACGGAGCTCCTCTCGTTGATGATGACCCGCTATGCCGCACTCCATCGCCATGGTGCAGCACCGGCCAATTGGCCGTTCTGACACGCGTATCTTTCGTTTTTCGGGCGAATTACCTAGAAGGAAGCACACGAAGAACTCTGCAAGCCGATTCACTCTTGTTGCCATCATATCGACGAACTCGCGAATCCAGCGTGAATGCAACGGGTAAAGCGCACTCTGTCAGAATACGATTTGCTAAATGGAACAAGGAGACGAATTTCTATTTCAGATCGATAACAATATTGTAAGTGGTAAACCTGCTGATCTTATTAGTTTTTGTACTAGCCAAAAAATTTGTTTGTGCTTGACTTTCTCCGTCTTAAATTTTCCTGACAGGTTCCTACACGGTATCAGGCATCCAGGCTGTTTGTATAAAGCTACCACTACTGAATTCTTGCAAACTAGTTTTTGTTCAAAAGTTCTCGGTAGCTGATCCCGTCGAGTTCACTAGTTTTTGTGCACTTCGTCTCGTTTTTCTTGACCTCCGTTGCAGCTGCCTCCGTTCCATTATACTTCCAGCGATCTTCCACGCTAACTAACCTAGATGATGACGTCTTGGGCGACTCTGCCAGCCCGTTCTTCTGGCTGGCTCCGGCTGTGACCATCGCTCAGCACGAAAGACGGCCCAGCTGGGCTCGGTCGTTCCCGATCATTTCGTTCTTGCTGTTGTCTGCTGCTACTACCGCAGCCGCCGCTGCAGCTGTTCCAGCTACGCCGCAGTTCGTATGTGAAGGAAACTTGAAGAAGACGATGACCCAGCTTGAGTCGAAGGAAAGGAAGATGCTAGTGTTGGATTGGGTGGTAGTCACATCAGCCAGACACAAGTACGCGCACACACACCGGCAGACGCATGGACCGAGAGTTTCACAGGGTTAACGCTCACATATTGTCTCGGCCGCGGCTACCTATGGCATTGCATCGTCTCACGCATACCCGAGACGCAAAACAGACGCCGAACGGTTGTAGCACCAGCTTCGACTTAGATGAATAGCATAACGACGCCGCTTCTGGGAGTGGATGAAAACAGCACAAGCAGTGGCCGTAGTGAAGGTGCCAACGGTGGTTTCATCACCTGACACAAAATCACACCGAGGAGAATGTCTGCAGGGGACAACAGCCGCCAAACGGAACGACAAGCGAAGCTGTAGCTTCCGCTGCCGCTGTTGAAACTGCCGTTACAGCAGTAGTTCTACAGACGCGTTTAAGGGACGAAAGGGAGACCATGGTTGGGGCGGAGAGCGTCGCGTTCGCGCGAGACTCGCGGGCGAAGCGCATTTGCTGCTGCTGATGCTGCTGTTATCGACGAAGGATTGCTGTTATTGCTGTTGTTGGTGAAATCTAGCAAAAGTCAACAGTAAACTGGCATTGATCTCAAGCCGGGAACGATGCGAAATGTGGCCGGCAACATCACCACTGTGGATTCTACGAGCGATGCCTTGTAACTGGTCTGCCAGCGATGTTCACTAGTGTCAGATAGAAATTGGTGACCGTTGCCATGACGGGCAACGGTTTTTTGGTGGAAAAGACAGAACTTGTCAGAGAGACTTGTTTGGCGCGGTTGGCAGTGTAGTGAGAACACCGACCTTTTGTGCTCTGCAACTGCAGAACAGTCGCGAAGATACAACACAAAACGGTCAGTCCTGCACGAACGTTCGGGCGATCCAATAGTCGAATGCGTTGAATGGTGACCAGCGAAACGACATTAGATATAGCAGCGTCAATGCAACCTAGGCTCGCGTTGCACGAACCGGAAGGAACAGGTTATGGGGCTGGAAGACAAGCCGATCACTTGGACTATCTTCGATAGCTTGCCAAATACGGGCACCCAAGGAACCGGAAACGAAGCTCTGCAACGCTAGTGACGACTATTTCTTTGATTCGTACCAGTGGTTGTAGTGTGGTGAAAATAAGCAACTAATGGTGGACTCAGTTGCCTTCACTTCCTCTCATTTCCATCTTGCTGTATATTTTGCGCGAAGCTGCTCCTTGCGTCCCATGACGCTGTTGTGAGCCGCAGCAGTTTCTGTAGCCTTTGCGTGGCCACGTAGATTGTCAGTCGCAGTAGTGTTGCTCTGCTGTGTGATCATCAGCGCGTGACTGTCATCTCGTATTAGAATAGCCACGACCATGATTGAAACAGACTACAAGAGCGACCGCCACGGTCAAAGGTGTAATGAAGAGGCAGTGCTATCAACAATGAAGCGAACGTGTGTTGAAGGCGCGTGCATTTGTATATGTGTATGCGATTTCATCGTGTGATTCCAGCATATAAAAATGGCAGTAGCATCCATGACGGCGCCAGCAATAATAACAAAACAAACATAGTAACAGCAACCTAAATTAATGTGGAAATAAGAGCACATAAACTTAAAGAACGATGAGCTTTGTTTGCAAGAAGAAACAGAAATGACACGTAGGTATATAAGCACACATGAACAGAAGATACATGGCGAAAAATGAAGCGGAAAGCGTACAAAGAAAAGTGAGAAGGAAAGGAAGGAATCGAGATGTTGGGCAAAATGGAACAGGGGAAAGAAAAGCCGAAAAAACTTCTAGTGAAGACTCTCCAGCAACGAACGAGGACCGAAAGATCAAGAACAAGAGGGCAGGCTTCAATACACCGACAATGACAACGAAAATAAGTAGCGAGGGCGAAGAAAGCAACTGACAAAGAACCAGCTTTGCATTTCTTGTTGCTGGGCTTCCCTGGTTATCAAAGGTAGGGAATGCTAGGTTGAAACAATCAATAACGTCAGTCACAAAGAAGCATAATAATTGATGTTGTGAGCTTTTAAATAAGGCGGGTGGCGTAACTAGCCTTGAAACTATTGCACTACATTGTATGTATCACTATAAAGAAGCAAACCGCAACGAAGGAAGCTAGACAAGCAAATGGGATTGTGTGAAAAAATATATCTTATTCATTATAGCAAAGAGTAAAGCATATCACATCGTTAATGTGAAAATGGATTCGACCGATTGTGAACTGTAACCCATACGAATAAATTTTATTGGATTTTAAGAAGACTCGAGATCCTTTAGTAACTGGCAAAGATGAATATTTCTATGTAAAGTTCGCACTCATCTAGGGATATTAGGCGTTTTAATATTACAATTTATCAAAGAGGAATCGAAGTTATACGAGAAATATCGATTTATCTGTGCGTTCCCAGCTCAGATAAACCTAAAAAGAGGGCTTACAGTGATATAATGATGTTCATAACGCTTTGTTGCACAGGAACTGATACTTAGGCTACATGGCCCCTATGTTTCGAATTTTACGTCCAGTATCGCCGTCAGGCATTCCGTCAGACGGCTAGCTCCCTGGGTTCGGATTTAGACCCCAATGTTTCTCTAAGGCTTCATGACCTATGCAGCAGCTTACGTGCCATAATCTCTTTAATGAATTTTGCATAAACGCTGTTTTCAAACTACCATTTTGTAGGTACCGCCGACGCTTGAAAAGTACGGCCTTTAAAAACAACCTATTTCCCAGCTCGAAAGTCAATTCGAAATAAATAAAAAAAAAAATGGAAAAAACAGAAAAGAGTTCGAACCGTGTAGATTTCCAGGTGACCAAATGCAAAAAAAAACGGAATGTTTATTAGACAAATAGATATTCGTAAAATAAATTCACAATGAATGATTTGAATATCTTAAAAAAAAAGAAATATAAATAAAATATATAGATAGAAATATATCGTCCGGTCTGATGACCACACGATATGGCCAGCTAGATTGGCGGAATTAGAAAAGCCGTAGTTAAGGTACGGGCGGACAAACAATGTTTATACATTAGTAACCATCTATACACATTATAATAAGGATGCAAGGCAGAGGAAAGCGATGCAGTATAAGACTGTGGCTACGAGAAAGGGTTGTTGAAGCTAGCCCACTAAAGCTAAATCAATGGATAATACAATTTTTACAGGCGTACTTGTAAAATATAGCCTCAGATACATACATATCGTATGTTCGTAAATTGTTTTCTATCAGAGATCAGGCACGTGACAGGTATTTACTAAGTCCTTGCCAGCGTATTGGTTATAAATTTTGTTTGCGACTATAGTTATAAATTTAGTTTGCGAAAGTACCTTTCGCTTGTCCTGCAAGCGATGGGAAGGCCTCGACAAAGGCCATATATAAGTCGTACATTTACAGTTTAAATTAAAATTGCAAGCTCACTTTTGATAGTAGTTAGTTTGAGCTCTTGTATGGCATTCTTAACTCTAGATTTCAACAACACTAGTATGCCCATAGGTTTCTGTTCAGTCCCTATAAGACGACATGACATGTCATTGCGAGTCAAAAGTGCGGACCTTCATCGCGCTCAAATCTGTGTCCCTTTAAAAAATTATTTCGCTTTAATAATATTCGATTGCCAGGCGCAGTCACAGACAGACAAACAAATATTCTAATCTATATTCGACTTTATAATCGGTGTATGTATAATCCGTCCGTTACATCGTGATTTCTGTTTATTCCAGGACATCCCCGAAGTAAACGATTTTAATTATCTTTAGGCACAGATTCACCTCTCCGAACTGTCAAATTAGATATCTATTTCTGTTTGTGATAGGTTACCAAAAAAGCCTTATCAATAGCACAGTTTTTTTTGCAAATTACACTTTCTACTATGAATGTATAGGCCACAATTTTTTTCTATCTGAATATGACTTTTGCTGCTTCCGACTTTTCGCGCTTTTGTTTTCAACTTTTACGTCAGCCCCGAAGGCGCTCCATACTTTCTTCAATGTTTTTCAAAATTATCAATTATGGTTCAAAAACAATACAGTTTTAAGACGCGCACTCTGATTATAATGTTTGGATTAAAATCTACACTTGTTATTTTTGTTATAGCACTTATTGAATCGATGCACAGCAAATGGCCAATATAAAAAAAAAAACTTTTTTTCAATATTACATTACATTTCGGTGAACATGTGTCCAAGAATAATCGTGCAAGCTTAATCTTGCACGAGGACAGAAAGACCAACAGACGTTTTTGTCACGACCGGTGTCTATCAACGTCCAACTTCATAAATTCACCTCTTAATTTGCTACAGAAAAAGTTTTGCCTGAGTTTCTTTGTCATCTGCGGTTCCAGTCTTCTTGAACGAGTGCACTCTGCTACGAGTGGGCGGATCGCTGCCCTCCACTGGAGCACTATTTGAATCTTTCATATGTGACGTCCTTTACTCTTTTTGGGGTTACACATCGCTGCAAAGCTGAAATATCATCTGTCCTCTATACCTCTAAAACGAATAGTTGTGATTAATTATACCTATGCAATGACCATGCGCTGCTCTACGCGAGTATCTAGGTATAGCAGTGGAGTAACTTCAGAATGACCGCAAGCAGCAGAGGTAAGAGTAATACACGGAGCACGATTCAGTTCATCTTCTATCTCTCATGCGTACCCTTTCCCATTGCGGGCCGGGTAATCAATGACACGCGTTCTGTTTTGCCTATGTCTGGGTTACGATGTCATTCTTAGCTGTTGCTGTCACTCAGATTCAATTCCTCCTCTTAACAGATGTTCGATCACTATCGAACACAGGCAAAAACTCAGCGAGAGCAAACAAAGGCTAATAACGAGCCGAAATCGCGATCTCTGTACGACTAGCAAATCTCTCATCGTGCCGCCAGTTTGGCCGACTGGAAAGGTGTTGTTATGGCAAACACTATCACTGTTCGCACTTGTGCAGGCGGGTGGTGAAGTATAATGAACCAACGGTCCATGTTACTGAGGCGGCGACGGCTTCAGCGATAGCATTCATTTGCAGTGGCTTGCGCGAAGCCAACTCCGCGCAATGAATCTAGAGGGTCTTGCTGTCACCACAGGTAAATTCGACTGTAGCAGCTATGCGTTGTAGTTGGGACGGCAGCTGGGATTCGCCGTAGACCAATGCCATAGTAGATCTGCTTATTAACGCGCGCAACTGTGCTTTTGGTATTGCGATCGGATATTTGCGGCCGCTCCGTAGTGTTCAGTGGCGATCATCAAGCCCTCGTAGACAACCGCTTCATTTGACGTACGCCAAACCATAGTAATTGACGGTAGATGTTAGGCGAGGCAATCACGTCAAGCGTGAGGATCTGCGTATGTTGAGTCCTGATGCAAATCAGCGTACTGGTAGCTTGTTGTGCACCAACAAGAAGAGCTGTACGATTGTGAGCAGCCAGAAATAAACGCAGTATAGCGGAAATCGTGAGAAGAGTACTGCTGACTCTAGCAGTACCCAGACAGTTACGTAGACTAGTGCTGCGAAAACAGCTTGTGGTTTGTATCAGGACTGTGTTACTTGTTAGCGCCCCTTTCTCTTGCAGACGTTTACCTAGCACCCAATCTATTGACGACAGGCCAGTAATAGATATAAGCTTGCTTAGCATTCTGTTGGCCTTAACGTTCTTTCTAGCCGATTAATTCTCATAGAATAGTCAACCAAAACAGATCGTGGTTTTGTAGGCTGTCCACGAGGGAAACGTGATCAAGAGTCAACGGCTGCCTTAAACTGACCAGCAAGTCAAGCTTCTGACAAGTCTACCCTCCGATTTTCTTGAGAGTGTTTAAAGTTTCCTTAACCTGAGCTACCTCATTGAACGTCGAAGGATTCCAGCGTAATTAATCGCTACTCACGTCAACTAACGGGTAGTGCCAACCAGTGGTTGGAAATGGAATTGTTTGAGAAGCTGAGCTTTGTTTTCCTGTAAGGGATCCTTCATGTCGTATCACATATCATAGATTTACCCCGTCTACTACCCCCGAACCTGTGGCCTGATGCTGAATTGTCCGCGGATCTGATGTACCCCTGTTCGATTTGTGGTAAGGTGAATGTCTATGCCTGGATGAGTGTTTCATGTGGTTTAGATACCGGATTGACATTATTTGCTGCTATCGCTGCACGAGAAAATCAATAAGCACAAAAAAGCGAGAGAGAAAAAGTCAGGCCGTGATAAAAACGAACGTGCAAAAACAAACAAAACAAATAACGTAGTATGTATTAATATATACGTATATTGATATATACAAATAGAAGATAAACAAAAGCAGTCAAGATGGGGGTGTCAGAACTGTGCCAGCGAATCGTGTGCGATCTCGAAGCACTGCTTAGAAAACACGCTCTCCTAGAGAGCTTCGATGTAGTAATCAAAGAGAATAGCGCGGAACGCTCGAACCGCAGTCCCGTTTACGTGGTCGAAAACCACCTTGGCCTCGAATCCTGGTGCGTTACACCCGTCTACACCTTTGCCAGTCAGCAACTTTTAGGCTGCTACGATACTGAGAAAGTGAGTAAATTTATCTTTTTTTTTTTTTTTTATTATTATTATTGTAGTCACTGGATTAAAGTGTTTTAATTCACTTGCTATTTGAGATTATGGTGGATTTGAAACGCTGTTAGACACTGTTTCCGTATCTACGCTTATATTATTGTGTTGAAAGAACATGCTTAATCGATCACTTAAGAAGACACGTCGTTAGCGATTACGTAATAAATATTCATTCTCAATGGATTGACGGCATTGCATAATGCCGTGTTTTGATGCAATCTAAACAGCGTTATTGTGGTAACACAGAAACAGGCAAACTTGTGCATGCATATGTATAAGTTTTTTTATATTTTTATTATAAATATATATATATATATATATATATATATGTATATAAAGAAAATTTTCGTGACAGTTTACGTCTACGCTGTTTATGATACATGCTTTTTACATGTGTATGCTTTATATATATTCAATAAACAGTATATATCTGTAAATAAATTTTTTTAATTGTCAAGAGACTTCTGTCCGACCCTGCTTATATGTATATACATATATATGTGTGTATGTGTGTGTTTTAGCTTAAAATTTAAATATAAAAGCAAGAAAATGGACGCAGTCACGAACAATTTGGGTACAAGCCATATGCGGCGGATGTGTTATAGCGATGGCTATCTGGGCAATAATTTATTTTAGAGCATATATAGGTAGGTCAATGCTAATTAAAAATGCTAGCACATGGAAGAAATAACAATGTGATGTCTAAGTGACGCATTCCCATAAAAAATCTGTCGTGTGCTCAACCATATAGAAATATGTCTTTTTTCATATAGAAGTATGTCACGATTGTCTTATGCATACGTGGACCAACGCAACACCTTTGGGTGGATTAATATATATAATTTGTTCATTATTTTGTGTACATTAAACGTATATTAGAAGAGTTAGGGATTGAAGACCAGAAGCTATGATACAAACTTAGTTGTACCCGTACTGACCTGCTGTTAGTATGCGCACAATGGTTTAGACAACGGTCATTTATAAATATTATGCCTCAAAAATACCAAGTGCTTATCGCGGGGTAGATGTTCTGTTCCTTCAATATGAGTTCTTCCATGATATCGGTGCAACAAGGGATTCTTGCGCTGCTTGTTACACGGCAATACCAATGTATTCCCCCTGACCAGGTAAAAATCCTTCTCTGAGGCCTGTAGAACATAAAATATGGTCCATGTCAAGTACCTTGATAGGCGTTCGCTTCTTTCTTTTTTAACCTTCTTTAATCAACCTTCATTCACAGCTAATTCAACTGACGAATGTGTTGTTGCTGCTAAATCCCGAGTTGGCCGTAGCATGGAATCACCGCAAACTCCTGTACCTTCAGCGTAAACTCAGCCTTCAGCAGGAACTTCAATTATCTCAACTGGCGCTGTCTCGTAAGCCGAAAACTGCGGAGGCATTTTCACATCGAAAATGGTTACTGGGGCAAGAAATGGAAAACTATCCGTTGGAGAGGAGACAAGCTGTTCTGCACAGCGAACTTCAGCTCTGCGACACAATGGCTACGAAGTGAGTTTTAGCTTTAACTATCTAATACAACAATATTTGATAAGGAAAAGGAGATCCCTATTAATAATAGGTGGACTATATATACATATAGATAATAAGAGGATACATTGAAAATTTGACTTGAAATGTATGTCATTAGGTACTTAATAATATTTTTATGATGAAAATGTTTTTAGACGAAAGATCATAAAAAGAGTCGTGGTTAGGACGTAAAATTCGAATAAAAACATGAACATTTAAAAATTGAGTTAGCGAAGTTACTAATCTCCTTAATGGCCCCCTTCAGTTTTATCCTTAAACATACAACAACTTATTAGATTTTCGTTAGACTCTATGACAGGATCAATGTGCCTAGTGAGCGTATTTTTCGAATCTTTTTAGAAATCGACAGACTTTTGAAAACCCTCGAAATTTTCCACAAATTAAAAAAGTTTCTAGTTATCTAGTTAGAATCTAGTTAATGACCTTACATTTTAAAACAATACCTAGGGAATAAATCTTATGAGTTTTATGATTAGTACTACGGCTAGGTATCGCTTCAGACGGCTGGTTTTCAGCATGACATGAGCGGCATCCACGCTCCGAAATTATCACATCCGCCCTGAAATTTAGTAGACAAGTACTTTACAACTACATCATTTCAAAGACTCGGAACAGTACAGAAACATACGGTTAAGGGTAGGAAGCCTTTATTTCTGGATTCCACAACAAAAAAAAATTGTTTTTTTCCTTATTATACTTTAATGTGTTATTCCTCGCGGTAGATACTTCTCTAATTATCATGCATGGGACTATCGACGGCATCTTGTTCGCGAATATGTCGAGGGAGCCCCATTGATCATCGAGAGCGAACTGCAACGTAGCAAAGATTTCCTACAGTCACATGTTTCAGACCATTCGGGAATGGCATATAGACAGTACGTTTTATTGCGTGTCAATTCCCGACCGCTGTTCCAGGCTGAACTTCAATTTATTACGGATTTAATACATACCTTTCCAGGTTAGTACTGTTTACAGGTAAGTTTTTGCTTGAGAAAAATAACAGGGCCCTTTGTTAAATTGGTGAAATGCCAGCGGACGGCTGTTAGTTATTAAAATAACATTACGTGTACGAGCTTATCCGTTCTTGTATTGAAAAATAGTCTGCAGGGTAGACGAACGTTGAAACTGAGTAGAAAAAGCGGTGTATTGCTAATGTATATTATTATAAATGCACAATATTCTACCCTCTTATTCATTGGTTACAATACCTTTACATACACACATGCAAATTTCGTGTGCAAGCATTTAGTTCATGTTATTTATGTTCATGTTTACTTTTCTACCTTAATCAGGCCATGAAGCCTTATGGCAACATCGTCGCTTCTGCGTTCTTGCATGTCTTGGTTTACTCAAGTCGGCCGACAAACGGTTACGCTCGGTGAGTAAAGATCATAAGGACCCTACACGGGTGAACCGCGCAACACAGGATGAGCAAGTGTTTGTTAGAGATGTGCTCTGTACCGGTGAGCAGTGGCAGAGAACCCTGTGCGAACGACACATTCGATGGATGCGGAATACGCTTCACATCGAGCTCGACGCCAATCAGCCAAAACTGGCTAACGGGGTCCCGTTCGACGTTAGAGCTGACTCACTTCAAATGCAGCATCAAGTTCAGCAGCAGCAACCATCGAAACAGACGCAAACACTCCGCCACGATGATGATGGTGATCGGGACGACAATAAGGTAGACTGAAGAAAAAGCAGCGAGAAAAATGATGGCATTGATAGTTCTATGCGAAACAGTTGGTGGGTGATAGCTCGAAAGAACAGCAGGTTGGAGACAGACCTAAACGACGAGCGAGGATCGAATCGAAACAGGTGTACAAAGCACAAGACATGTTTGAAATAGAGAGTCTGTTAATGATAGCATTTGCTCGTTTTTATGTCTCCGTTTTCGGGCTTATTGAAGCAAAAAATGTTTGGATAGTCACATCGGCTTTACAGTTTCTTAATTCAACGTCCGCCATGCTCGTGTGGTACTTTTTTGGTGATCCCGGCGTAAGGCGTGAATTCATCTAGCTATAGCTAATGCTAGCTCACTAGTTAACGATCAGCTCAGTCGAGTAATTTGTACAAGCTTAGTAGTAAGACATTTAATTGTCGAATAAATTTTGCAATAATTTTAAACAAAGACCTGAATCTGTTTTACTGGGTATGCGCATTACCTAGCACATTCGATGATAATCACCGCATTTTTCTTGTGTGTAAGCTGATGTAACTATGATTGTTCCTGATAATCGTCGTGACATGAAATATACCATTAGGTCAAATTTTCAACTTAAACCGCTGACTATCCAACTGTAATAAAAAGCTTCGTAATTTCTATGTTGCTATTTTCCATTGGTAACACATATTGGTGTCCTTTTCATTTTTGTAATGAGTTAGACAGAATGTAAAGAGAAGCTCGGAAAATCAATAAAACTCGAAGATCGCGTACGTCATACAACAACATCAATCCAATCAACACACAAATTATAGTGGGACACTTGATATACGTGAGATACATCTGAGGCGAAATTAGGAATAGTTCAGGCAAACGAATCACAGAGGAGATATAGGAAGACGAGGCATGACAAAAAAAAATGGTAGAATTAATCCTTCATGGTGATACACCCCTTATTCTTACTATTAATATCATAGTATATATAAGATATACGCAAAGAAGAGGAATCGTGTAATATTGTCGAATATTATTAGAAAGTGGAAAAACAACGATGATCGAATGCACGTGAAATATAGAGAAAGATATCGGAACACGTTCTAGAGAAAAAAAGAGAAATATATATATATATATATAATTACTTCATACATATATATAAGAATATTAAGTAACCGCGTAAGAGATATCGTTTAATACTAAATTTTATCTTGTTCGTACGCAAATAAGAAGCAATCAACAACCGGCAGCGTAAGACAGTAGCTTCAGGTGCTAAAAAAAAACTTGCATTTTTAAGACAACGAGAAAAAGTATTAGAGCTGGGTGATGAAAAACGCTTTAAAATACAAGGCTATTATTACTGATCTTATTATCATAAGGACTTGTTCGTTACCGGTAATGATCTGAATTTTCTATATCTGCGGTTTCTGGTAATAAGAAAAATAAATAACATAAAATAATAAAAAGAATAAGTTTACTTGAAAATGGAAACCTTTCCATTCGCGAAAATCACCTATCGGTTATGTTTTTTATGTGCGTATCAGTAGTAATGTAACATAATAAATTGTATTGAACTTTAAAATCTCTGTTTTTGTGTTGAAACTAAGTGAACATTTTATTTCGTACTATGAATATCGCGAGTTCCATTTTCAAACAAGTGTATATGATGTATTTTATTTTATATAAAAACAAAGGCTTTTAGCGTCATTCGTTTGTCAGATAATAGGCACGAGATTACTAATAACATTTTATTATAGCCTTAATAATAACAATCCACAGAATTAGTTTTACAATATCCCTTGGATGCATTATTCTTGGATATTTTTTCATCTGCTTTGATTTACTCTACACGATCATAGAAAAGAGTTGTTGCCCACTTGTTTCATCTTAATAAAAGAAATAATGATAATATGCTTATTTCACTCGAACGCAATCCAGCTTATTATTAATTAACTAATTATTTTCACTCGTTAATTCATGCACGATACATAATCTCATTTACTAGCCTTTCTATGTGATTTAGGCTGTAGGAACGGCACAAACGGGTGACAAAACAAATTAACTGAATCGAAAGATAGAAGGAGTACACGATATAGCACTTCAATTTCTACGGTCAATACAAAGAACTAAGATACATTATAGGGAAGATAGCCGAACAGGAATTACAGAATTTAAATATTAATTTATTTTTTTTATAAACTGTAGGACAGCTGCGTGTACATCTGCATTTGAAAGTTATATGTTTGAGTCATCCATCCGGCATGCAGTATTATCACTATTGTGAGAATTTTGGTGGCACCGAAGGCAAATAGAACAATTGACGTAGTGGACGTTAGCACGATCATCATTCAGCATTATCTTCGGAAGCAAGTTCTGGATTTTTTCTGAAAGGTAATTTTTTTCTTTTTTTTTTTTAAATATTTTCGACTAACTTGGATTAATTTTGTTTTAGTTGAATTTTACCCAGAGTTATGTCTGAGTCGTTGAGTTACTGGGGTTCATTTTCGAGCCGGCGCATCTTACTTTATGATTTCATGTTTATGTCTGCCGTGCTGCGGTTTCAATCAAAGAGAAATAACTTTGAGAGATGTAAAAAGGTGTCGAAAAAGAAGTAATCTTTTTCGATGGAGCTTACAATCAGTTTGCATATTCAACCATTGGCAGACTGCAAAGGCAGCTTATTATTTTCTACTTTGCTTATAACCTGAAGCGACCTCACAGATCATTTGCATGAGTTACTGAAGGTGTAGCCAACGAAGAGAACTTGCAATTGTAGTTCCTAGATAAAATTTGAAATTGGTTGAATGAAGTTTATTGGAATTGAATTAAACATCTTCAAAGTTAATTATTCCATACACATTTGAGGTACACATCATTGAAAAAGTAAATTTATTTGACTAACACAAATTTTTCCATCGTAGCGGGGTTGTGCTGTCACAATGCGGCCTCGACGTTAACGTTTTTTTGGCAGATATGAACTGTTGATCCCCACCGTATTCCGTCTTTGAATCGAGTATTTTCCATGAAGTGTAGTCAAGTCACAGTAACTCTTCATGTAATTCGCGTTTCTTTCGTTTTTTTCGTTAAGCTCAGATGCATTAGGAGTACAGATGTAATTTGTCTGTTTTATTCGGGTTTACCTAAACGATCGAATCTACAGTTGAACGAAGGTGGAACGAATAGGAAACGAGTGCTATTGTTATTTATCAAGTTGTGATTGCGCAATAATATCGATAGAATTCATGAGGTATGGGGCGGACGATGCCCTCAGTTCTTCCTAATAGCTCGTACCTCAAAACATGAATCGAAATTTTTTCGATTGAAGTTATAGTAAAATAATAAATTACAACAATTTGAACGCCTTGTTTTTTTCTTTTTCTATTTGGTAATACTCTGCTCGATAGACTACGCAACGCTCGAACTTCAACACTTCAAAAATACTGCCAGTATAAAGTTTCGACTTTTTCCGAGTTGCGCCCTTGCCTTTGTGAACTGAAGACAAGCAACCAGTAACTTTTTTTTTTCTTCAATATATAAAAAGTAATTTTAAAATATACTGGCCCAGATTGAGCTCTACTGTACCTGCAACCTTAACGTACATGACAGCAGAATGCTTTTTCTTTAACATGTTTCCCTTTATTTACTATTTCTGCGTCATAACGCGTTAGTTCCATGAACAACGAAACGGCAACTATAATTATAAAAACATCAACACAATTACCGGCAGGTTCATCACAATGACCCAGTTAGTGCGATAAGGCACATACGTGTACGGTGCTATTACGTTAGTGCGATTAATAACTTGAGTAGCCCGTTGGCGAAGAGCTGGCCCGATGGTCCGTGAAATTCGTCCACTTGATAAAGATTATCGAAATCCTCACCTACGAAGTCGAGCGCAACTAGTCCCCAAAACACAAGAAGAACTCCTGAGTTGAACTCAAATAGGACATGAGGAAAGTACGTGAAACTCCAACAGAATAGGACACAAGCAAGGAGTCCAAGGTCGACGAATCTGTTAGACGGCATATTTATGGCAGAAAGATGAGCGGCTTTGACAAGCTAGTAAAGAAATGAATGCCTTCTGCACGAATCGCAGAAACGAACGCTCACTGCCAGCTACAAGATGGCAAGCTAGAAAGACGATGCTAAAGTAAGTGCAGACAGCATTGGACAAAGCGTCTCGAAAACTGCTTATCCTGTCCTCATAATGGTGAAATAGTAGTGTGTTTGTTTGGTAAACTTCTGCTCACGTGGTGATTCAGGTTCGAAACCGGGCGCGGACAAATTACGTCCTGTACCGAAAAGGGTCAGCCGTCTGAAGTAATGCATAACGGCTTCAAAAGCAAACTGAAAATTCGAAAAATTTAATTAATGTAATCAATCTATTTTATAATTTATGAAGAAGGTTCGGATGGATATAACAAGATCATCAATAAGACGTAAATTTCATAGTAAATTACTTAAGAAAAGCAGCATGTAAGGAACTGTACCTCCACGTAGCCAACTATATTTTTTACACGACGTAATTCATTTGGTTGGACTTCTCTTATCTAAATCGACTTAGGCTAAAAATTTTGGGATAGGCTGTTAAACGAATACAGTGGATGCAATACGTAGGAGCGCGCAGTGATTTATGATTACTGAGACATGATCGTGTCTGTGACTCAAATACTGAGTTATTTTCAGCTGTTGTTTTATCTTTTTTTCATTAATAATTACCAGGAGCATTCGTGAGTTGATGACGCTCGAATGCTTTCACAAAGTAGAGTTCCAGGATGATTCTGAAAGCCTGTGGTAAAAGAGACATTTCAAAAAGCATTTTAGAGTGTTTCCAGCTTACAACTATGGTTCTTAAGTGACACGTTTCGTATTTTTGATGTTTAGCTTTTGAAAGGTTTTCACAGTTCAGTTATTTTCAAAATTGAGAATCTAATAGAAGATCATGTAAGTCTATAGCATAGTCAATCATAGGAAGGATAAACTAGGCAAAGGCGAAAAGGAAGAGAACGATTTCAAGCATGGTGTAGTGTGTGACAACATCTAAGTTACATTAAAATAAGCTTAGTATGTAAGTGTATGCCATTCCTTATATATACATAATATCTTATAGAAGACGAGCAGCAAGGGCGGTTTAATATAGCTTAGGAAAGGTTCAAAGCATCATAAAGAAATCTGCCTGAAATGAACTCTACCCTATTAAGGTACATTAATTCGACATCGAGATCAAATGATAACGTCCTTGTCTCTAGAATATCCTCTAGAAAACCAAGTTTTCGCTTATTTTTAATCTCTCCAGTTATTAATTATTTAATAATTATATATTTTATAGGTTTAAAAGCTTTTTCCTATCGATGACCCATAAAACATAATGCAAAACAACAAGAAAGATCCGCTTGGAAATTCCAACTGCAAATACGAAATCTACTGCTACAAAGCACTTACCTAATCTCTTCTTTGGCATTTGCATGTAGAACGTTCTTCACATTCGTAGTAGATCCAAAATAGTAAGCTATGATAATGCTCTTTTTATAAGTATAGTTGCTTCAGATAGCTTCTATTCAACCTTTGGTATTTGCCGAACGGATTTTAAGCGTTTATTGGAATCACATGGACACGAACAATCCGCCCTCAATGACATCGACATAGGTAGTACGTTGTTTCAAAAATATGCGCTGAATTATAATACAATATTAAGAAAAATCTGCTAAATAGCCAGAACGCATTTGCTAATATTACTCCATTTTGGCTGTCTTTATTGGCATAGTGCGAATTACGAGAACCAATTATTTTATAAGGTCTGTTCTATTTCTGCAACCTCGTTTAATAGGATACGGCACACCCACATCAAGAAATTTGAATAAATTAAATAAATGAAGCGAAACTTTGATAACAGCAGGTTTTATAAATTTAGTTAAAGAAATCCGGTCTTCTTACCAAAAACACAAAAAAGTGGCATCACATGCTCTTGTAGCAGAAGATTTCACAATTTCTATCATATGAATGATAAACTTAAGCTCAGCAACTCTACACAATAGTGTCATGAAAACCTTTTTCGGCTAAACACGTACCTCGAAGTGCCGGGGTTGTATAGTACGGCTACGTACTTTGCGAAGAATATCATTTTCTCATTTAATATATACTATTCTGAGATATTATCATACTTTTCGCGATTCGATATAAATTTCGTTCGCTACAGAGGTGTACATCGTCATATGATCGGTGAAAAATTTATACATTACTTCGTCGAGAAGCTTCTTTAAAGTCAGGTTAACAGGCGCGTCCTTCATACAACCCAT